ATATTAGTATTATTATTATTGTTGTTGTTCGTAATATTATTATTTCGATTATTATTATTAATGTTGTTATTCTTGTCGTTAAGTTCGACATACTTAACATAATTACCCTGGCTGCAATCATTATCATCCCAATAGCGTCCATCTTTGTAATTAATACTAATGACCGCGAAAACCCCATCATCATTTCTACCACTACTATTATCATCAACACTAGCATCGTTAACCTCGCTTACCATAGAGTTCACTATATTATTATTATTATTATTGTTGTTGATATTATCGTCGTCAACATCATTACCATTAATAACATCATCATTGACAAGTTGGACGTAGTTAATGTAGCTAATTTGATTTCCATTAACATCGTCATCACGACCATTTTTATTGTTGTTAGTATTATTGTTATTGATGTTGTCATTAGCGTCATTGTTGTCTCGGTCCTCGTCCTCATCATTGCTAACATCATCACCATTGTAATTTTTACCATCATTGCTAATATTATTATTACAACTACAATTATTATTCTTGTGATTGATATTATTATCGCGTTTTATATTACCATCATCAGTTGTGACATTATTATTAATATTATTATTGTTGTTATTATTATTAATCATATCGTTAACAATTTTTGCGTTGCTGTCATCTGTTTCGTCATCATCACCATCATTATCATTATCACCATCACAATCAATGCTATTTATGAAGAAATTCGTACTGCTGTCTTTACTAGCTTCGATACAATCGCTTACTTCAATAAGCTCAAAGCTAGTATCACTACTCAGACTGCCATCCTCATTATCATTATTATCATCATCATCATCATTATTATTATTATCATTATTATTAGTAGTAGCAGCAGCAGCAGCAGCAGTAGTAGTAGTATGACTATCATTACCATAATGATCGTAACTGAAATTTAACTCATCATTGTTGTCGACTTTATTCTTTTCATTATTAACATTATTATTTTTAACGTTATTGTTGCTATTTTTAATATTATTGTTGTTATAGACGTCATAATCATTTATAACTACGAAGCCGTCGCTATCGATGCTGCTTGCATCATCATCAGCACCATCATCATCAGCATCGTCATAGATTTCTTCTTCATCACAATCATCACCTACGATTATCATAAATCATGTTATCTGTATCGTAGCTAGTATCATAAAATACGTTATCAAATATCGGTAACAGTATCACAATGATATTAAAGTTATCATAAATGATACTAATGTTATCACGAGTTATTTTAATGTCATCTTAAATTATTTTATATCATAAATTATTTTAATGCCATCATAAAATAAATTGTTTTAATGTCATCATGAATTATGCTAATTTAATCTTAAATTATATTAATAATGATATTAATGTTATCATAAATGATACAAATGTTATTATAAGTTATTTTAATGTCGTCATGATTTATTTTAATGTCATCATGAATTATTTTATATCATAAATTCTTTTAATGCCATCATAAAAATAATTTATTTTAATGTCATCATAAATAATGCTAATGTCATCATAAATTATGTTAATGTTATCGTAAATTAATACTATCATCGTCAATAATAAAAATTACCGGTATTTTTATCATCGATTTCGGCTACGTGTTCTTTGCAGTTTCTTGATCTCATAATTATCCCACTTCAAATTTATTATAATTAATTAATAATAATCTGTTAAAAATAACTAATTATGTCTTAATTACTATTATTAGTAGTAAAATTATTGTTATTATTTAATTCAATAATATTATAACGAATGGCGGCGAGTAAAGAAAGACTAAAGAGTTACTTATTTTTACTTAATATTCTACAATACCTATAATATAAAACGTTAACTAATTTTTTTCTATTGTAATTAATTCTAATTAACCCCAATATAATTCTATTATAATAAAATTTTAATACTTAATACTGAATGTATTGTTACAAATCATTAAAGTGAAAAAGTAAAACTACCTTCGTCGGCAAATCTACACAACGAAACTTCAATAAAATGAATCTTCAAAAGATCTTTGTATCTTCTTTTATACACGTACACACACACACACACGCATGCACGCACACACACGCACATATATATATATATATATATATATATTACCAACCTATTACCAACATATATATATATATATATATATATATATATATATATATATATATATATCCTTGTAACCAGCTAACTCTGTCGTTTAACCTCGTGAATATTCATTCGCAGATACTTCTTTGTTTCCACGTTCTTTTTGTCTAGTAACCATTAAAAACACTCACCGTCATCATCATTCTTCTCTCTCACATCACCTATATCACCATTAAAACTATCATTGTTATAACTGATAGCATTTGTATTATCATAACTGATAGTATTTGTATCATAACTGATAGTATTTGTATCATAAATGGTAGTATCATAACTAGTACTATCATTATCACCACCGACAGGTACTGCTTTGTAGGTTTCTTTAATCTAGCTCATGCCTGGAGTAGCTGACCTACTTGCTGACCTACATAGTACAGCGTGAAACACTTACATGTAGTACACGTGTACTGCCCGAGTCTAAACGTGTTAGTTTATGTTTGTGTGTGAATGTGTGTGTGTTTGTCTGTCCGTCTGTGTGATTGTGCCGTTGTTTCTCGTTATTTTTTTGACAAAAATTGATGTTAAAGAAGCATTTTTCACCTTGCAAGTTCAAGCTTTATTGAATGATTTTTCTCGCAATGAAATCTCAAAATATATATTCACATACACACAGGCACGCACATACATATGCATTAACTCATAGACAGACGCGTACACGCACACAAACAGGGAGAAACCCGCTTAATTTAAAATGAGGAAGACAAAGAATTCTTTCTTGCCATGAAAAACATTTAGACCAACATTCAGCGGACAAAAATAAAAGAATGACATCAGCTATGAAGCAGTAAGAAGCTTTGCACGACAAAGGATTTATATGAAAATGTATGTATGTGGGTCTGTATGTATGTGACTGTATTTGTATGTGGGTCATGTCAGTATATTTGTTTGTCTGTATTTGTGAGTGAGTCTGTAATTGTGTGTGTCTGTATTTGTTTGTGTTTGTCTGTATGCGCGTCTGTATTTGTATGTGTTTGTATGCGTGTCTATATTTGTATGTGTTTGTGTCTGTATTTGTGTGTGTGTGTGTCTGTATGAGTGTCTGTATATGAGTGTGTGTGTGTATAAGTGTGTGTCTGTATAAAAATATGTGTGTTTGTCTGTATGTATGAGCGAGCATGCGGGTGTCTGTATATATGCGTTTGTAAATATGCACGTGTATTTTTAAATGCATGTATTTTTGATATATAAAAAGAGAAAGAAAGTGAAAGAGAGAAAGTAAAAGAAAGATAGAAATTAAATAACTATTTATAATTAGAAAAAGAAAGGTATTAAAACTAAATTACAGCAAAATTATTGCAAAAACATAACCTACTCATCAAAAGAAAATTGCTTCATCTAAAATTTTTATTTTCATTATCACTATTATAGAAAAATTATTTTAAAGAGCTTAGACATTATATAATTTATAAGTTCATTTTATGATGAATTGGTTTTTCAATTTCGTTGTTTCATTGATTCGTTTTTATTCGTTATGTATTTTGATAACGGAAGAGTTCATATAATTTAATAATTATTATTATTATAATCAAAATAATATTAATTAAAACTATAATTTCATTTTAAAAGAGGTGCCAAACAATGTGAAGTGAACTTGACAGGTAGAACAAAAGAATTTTATCAACTATTATGTTCTTAGTGTGAGTTAAACTTTGGCCTGGATTCTTAAGTAGGCAAAATATAAAAAACAATCTATTACTATTATTATTGATGATGATGATAATATTTCCAACATTCTTGTAATTCAATCCAATGTACATAATTTAATATCATTATTGTAATCATTTTCATCATCATCATCATGTTCAACGATACCATTATCATCATCAAAGACATTGTCTTCATTTTCGTCATCAGCATTTTACACAAAAGCAGTGGACAAGCATTTAAAATAGCCAGCCAGCAGCTTGTAAAAGCAGAGCTACTGTACATACATACATACATATAAACATGTGTGTACAAAAATGTGTACACATGTATGTGTGTATAGAATAAAGTATTATTATTATTATTATTATAAGAAAACTTGTATAGCGACTTTTATAGAACTACCCAAATTCGCTATCCAACATAACCAAAAGAAAATTTTTTGTCCATTTAAGTGATCAAACAAAAACATATATATTTCGAAAATAAACATAAGTATACATTGTAAAAAGAACTAAAACAAAACAGATAAATCCTTTAAATTCATATATAGATGCACACATATACTCTCGACCATAACCAATCACTCAAAGTCATGTATGAACCAAACAGCAATCATGTAGCCCGAATCAACCATTTTAAACCAAATCATAGATACGTTCATCCACACTTTATCCACACCGATCACACACAATTACGCACAGAAGATGCACGATAACATATAATTCAGAACAACCAACAGATAAATACCTAACCATCAGCACAATATTAATAAATCAATTCAAATTATTAGAAACACACACACTCCTCACATCCAAAACACATTCAACGTAAGCACATCCCATCATAAAACACCCACATACATTACGTACTCGACAACTCAATTATATAATTAAAACGTAAATAAAAATAAAAACAGCATAAAGGTGTGCAAGTCTGTAGCCAGGATTATTTTTCCGGGGGGCTGTCGGAACACTTTTTTTAAATAATTAATTAAAATCAAGTTAAAAATAACAAATCCATTCAAATCAGCTTTTAACCATTTTGTCTGTAAAAAATATTACACACGTTGAACAATGAACGCCTGTACTTTTTTTTGAATAAGCAAGCCATTTAATCTTTTGTAACCAATCATACTGAAAGCGTCTTGTAAATTTTCCTGTATCATCGTTAATAAATTTTTTGTAATTATTTGTTGGTTTTCAAAGCAAGTCTCTTGCCTCAATTTTTTCATGGTTGTTTAATTTTACGTCGACGTAATCAGCTATGTCTTTTTTTGTTTTTGAACATGTTGCATCAAAATTATCTTTTGGGATAGCTAAGGATGAAACATTTTTCTCATTGCCCTTCAGCTTCAATTCATTGTTAATGTTCACAAGACTCTCAGACTCAGATGTACCAACTTCCAACTCTTGTGTCAACAAAGTTTTCGATTCATCACAACAATTTGGTATTTTTGTTAAATAAATCAATAAATTGTTTTCTTGGTTATTTGTTCTTTTCATGGCAAAACTTTACTTCAGAAACCTCAAGGCAATCGAAATTTAAAAGCGAAAACGAGAGGACGATTAATGCATAAATATGTTTAAAAGTGAATTGCTATTAAGACTGTTATTTATTAGAATGTTGATAATAAAGTTTTAACGTAAAATATTATTATTCTAATTATATGTAAAATACTGAAAAAAGTTTTAAAAATTAATAAATCCTAACATCTTTTTAACTTTCATCAATAATTTAATAATTTTGTAGGGTTAACCCATAGAATTATATAATTCAATGGGTTAACCTAATAGTTTTGGTGTTTTTTTAGTTTTTACATTGTAGGTATTCAAGTAAACTCTCATGCACGCATCTGCTTGGTTATATGCGTAGCAATTAAAATAAACGTTCATGCAATTATATTTGCACGTATTTTAACATGTAATTTGACAAGTAAGCATTAAAATAAATTTTCATGCATTTTTCGCAAGTGTTTTACCATGCAATTTAACGGATAACATTAAAATAAACACATGATTGTTAAATAATTTCATGGAGGCTCAGCCCCCACCCCTTAGCTACGGGACGGCCTTTACGTACGTACTACGTACGTCTGTATGTATGTATAGAAGAAAGTGTGTATGTATGTTTATTTTGTTGAAGTAGGAAAATATTTATGTGGACTCGAGTAGACCTCATACCGACTAAAAACCTCCTAGACATCTGGCAGGTCCCATGTTCCCCCCGCTGACCCGCATTCTAAGCAATTTTTGATGAAAGCATGGCTCTCACTATGTTCTCTGGCTGAATTTTCTGTTGGAGAACAGTTTCCAAGTGTGCTCAAGAGTTTAGAAACGGAGACACTCAAAAAATACGAGCTTTGCACCTTCATTAACTCCTGGATTTTGTTGCTAATATTTTATTTTAGTAGCTGTAGCAGTAACCACGCTACATTCTACTTGCAGTAGCGATAAAGGCGCTTCTTTTTATGAATAGCGTTAACAATCCTGGTATGTATGCATAAATGAATGAATGAATGTATGATTGGATGAAGTTATGCATCTTCGTGAAAAGACATTTAACGATAACCTAAGCCGTCATTTGTTATTTAAGATTTCAAAAAAACTTTAATGCATCGTGTCGTTTGTGTTGTTGAGACATTAATACACAGTAAATAAATATATATATATGTATGTGTGGTGCGTGTGTGTTTGTGCGCGTGTGTGGTGCGTGTGTATTTTTTCAGGCAATTTACAAGTTTGAACTCACATTTAGCAAATAAAAAATAAAAAAACGAAAAAAAATGAAAAAAGAAAAATCACATTTTTGGCCCGCGAATTCACAAATACTACTACTACTGCTACTACTACTACTGCTACTACTAGTATTACTACTAATACTACTAAAACTACTAATACTACTTCTACTACAAATACTATTACTACTACTACCACTACTACTACTAATAATAATAAACAATAATAATAATAAAACACAATTCAGAATTTCTTAAAATCTTATCTATTTTATAATTGCTAAAAATAAATTCACTGTTTATCTGTTTATCAGCCAATCAGAGGCCTACTACTAAATAAAAGCATTTGCATTTACATATGAATATATATATATATATATATAATATATATATATATATATATATATATATATATATACAGTTGTTCAAAAAATCCACCGACGATTCAGCATTAACAAGTTTTATGGTTGATTTTCTAATATTTTGAACTAGTTCTTTACAATTAAGTCTATTCAAAATGTTGAAATCCATTTTATAATCGAAATCCATTTTATTATTTTTATTTTTGCCAAATAAAACAAAATCCATTTTATTTATTCGAAAAATAAATAAGTACCTACCTGATGATGAAAAACTATCAATACTTATAGGAGAATACAAACCTGGTTATTTGTATGGAAACGTCAAAACACACAAACCTAACAATCCTCTAAGACCCATAATCAGTCAGATACCTACCGTCACTTATCCAATCGCCAAATTTTTAAACAAAATTCTTACTCCGTACATACCTGATGACTACAACGTCAAATCATCAAAAGAATTCATCCAAATTTTAAACAACAACAATTCATCTGACTACATTGCCTCTCTTGATGTTGAATCGTTGTTCACCAATGTGCCAGTCAAAGAAACTATTGACATTATCATCAAAACTGTTTATTCCTCACATATGACTCCATTAAAAATTCCTAAAAATCTATTAAGAAATATGTTAAAAATATGTACAATGCAGGCACCATTCTTCAGTCCTACGGGTCAATTGTATCAACAGATCGATGGAATAGCCATGGGATCGCCACTGGGTGTCCTATTTGCCAATTTTTATGTAGGATATTTAGAAAGCGAAACTTTCAAAAAACATTCGGAACTTAAACCACATATCTATATACGTTACGTAGACGACATTTTTATCTCATATAGCAATCCAGACTATGTTCAACAACTCTTAATGATCTTCAACCAGTCAAAAATTAATTTCACAATAGAACACGAAGCCAATAGATCTCTACCATTCCTTGATGTTCTTGTTAAACATGACAACCATAATTTTACAACTTCTGTTTACATAAAAAATACCAATAAAGGCATCTGCTTAAATGGAATAAGTGAGTGCACTGAAGATTATAAAATCAGCACAATTAGATCATTCATCAATCGCGCGTTTACACACTCGACAACAGTTGAACATGCTCAATCGGAAATCAAACGTGTCACTAAATTACTTGTTAACAATAACTACAACCTAAATCAGATTGAAAAAGTCATTATTCAGGTTAACAATAAATTCAATAACAATAACAACAACAATAACAACAATGATAGATACAACAACATCAACGGCATCTGTAATAACCCTGAAAATAATAGCAACGAAAATAACAATGTCGACACCCATAACAACAACACTAATGATGACAATAATAACAACAAAAAGAAGGATATTATACTGTACTACCGTAATTTCATGTCTTCCTCTGATAAAATCGATGAATTGATAATGAAGAATATAATAAAAAATAATATAATTCCTACAGATCCTAATGATAAAATCAAACTAAGGATTTTTTATAAAAACACTAAAACATCAAACCTCATCTTAATAAATAATTGCACACCACGTGTTGAATCACAACTGAAACGTAGTCATGTCATATATAAATTTTCCTGTCCAGTTGACGATTGTATGCGTCTAAAATCATCATATATCGGCATGACTACCACGGATTTATCACGGAGATTGACGATGCATAAGAGAGAAGGTGCCATTAAAACCCATCTCCTTGACAAACACAACACAACAATCACCAGAGGTATACTAAATGATAACACAACCATCATCTATAGTACCCAACAATATCAAAATCTTAAACTCGCTGAAGCCATTCTAATAGAAATGCAAAAACCTACATTGAACAACCAACAACAAATTAAAACAACTCTCCCTACGCATAGATTAATTAACAACGTCAACATTGTTGCCAATAATTTTAACGTCATCGATAATAATAATAATAATAATAATACTTTTAATAACAATGATGACGACGACAACAACAATACAAACAACGATAGCAACAACAACAGCAACAATAAAAAGAACAACAACTACAACAACAATAATAATAATGGTAATGATGATGATGATGATAATAATAATAATAATAATAATGATAATAACAATAATAATAATAATGATAAAAATAATAATAATAATTAATAATATTAATAATAATAATAGAAACGATATTCTAATTAATTTCGCGATTCAAATTTGTGACATTGTTGGTTGGATTTCAAATGGATTTCAACATTTTGAATAGACTTAATTGTAAAGAACTAGTTCAAAATATTAGAAAATCAACCATAAAACTTGTTAATGCTGAATCGTCGGTGGATTTTTTGAACAACTGTATAGAACTTGGTCTTCTTCCTAATATATATATATATATATATGTATAATATAATATATGTATGTATATATAGTGTTTATTTATCTATATATATGCAATGTTTATATATGGATATAATGTCTATGTATATATAATGCACTTGTATATTCAAAATCACTCACAATTAAAAGAATTATAAAAAAGATAAAACTCATTACTACTCTACTATTCTCACACAGACACACACACACAAACACACACTCACTAGAGGTGAGCGGGAATTGAAATTTGTTCCCAATTCCCTTCAATTTTTTCTCATTCTTGAATTCCCATTTATGACAACGTTCCGAAAATTCCCATTACCTATTTTTTAACTCATTCCCTCCCGTTTCCCATTTTCGAAATTTTAGAACACAAATTTAAAAAAAATGCCGATTTACTCCGATATTGGCATTTACATGCTCACCTCTAGTCTTGAGATCCGCTCTGAATTTCTTAAGTAATTGAGAAGTAGTCAGAGAGAAAGGTAGAGAGTTCCAGAGAAAAAGGCCAATAAAAAGCAAATGTAGATTTAGCAAAAGTGTTTAACCCGAGTAAAGTGAGAACAAAAATACGATCGTAGACCGGGGCGTTTAGGTTCAATTGGTTTATCTGATATGTACTTAGGAACGAATTTAGATTGAGACTTATACATTAAGTGCAAATTTTAAAACATCATTCTATATTTTATAGGTAGCCAGTGCAAGAGAACAAGATATGGAGATATATGAGAAAAGAAAGGAATATGAGCAACTAGACGAGCAGCAGTTAAAAGCTTTAGCTTTATCTCTTTAAAGGATAGAGTGTTATATAAGGTTGTATAAGGTTATATAGCGTTATGTAGAGTTGTATATAGTTATATATAGTTATATAGGGTTATATAGTTATATAATGTTATATAAAGTTGTACAGAGTTATATAGGGAAATATACAGTTATAAAACGTTATATGAAGTTACATAGAGTTATATATAGTTATAAAGGCTAAAGGTTACTCTCTCTCTTTTTGCGTTAGCTTCCGAGGTTTCAACGACAAACACACACAGCGTATATGAATACGCGTGCAAACTACGCATCATACAAATTGCATATGATAGGCGGGGATCTCTTTGTATTCGAACCCAGTCATTGCAATAGTGTGTATAATTATAAAGAGTTACTTAGGGTTATATAAAATTGTATAGAGTTATATAGATTTATATAGGATTATATAGAGTTATATAGAGTTACATAGGAAACCATGGGACTACCGCGATTCCATTTCCCATGCTCTAACAAACACACACACACGCGCGCGCGCATGCAAACACACACAAAAATAAAAAAACCGTATTTTAAAATCATTCAATAAATACTATAAATATAAATAATAATATATATCTATATAAATAAATACTATTATAAATATAAATACTATATATATCTACGATAAATAGCTATATATAATTCTTGAGGTTGTTTACGTCATAATAATATAAATAAATAATAATAATTAATAATAATAATAAAATGAATTATAGAAATTGTGGTAGTAATAATACTTCTACTAATCCTACTAACGAAACATGCATTCAAACACATATATACTTACACACATTCATATAAAAGTGTGATTGTACGTGTGTTTGTACGTATGTTTGTACGTGTATTATTATTATTATTATTGAAACATTTATGAAGCGCTAATTAAAGGAATCTCAAAAGCGCTATCTAACAAAAACTGAACTTAACAACATAATTGAAATAACAAACGAGAAATCATAATAATATAAATAAGATTAAAATTTGGTCATAAACAGAAAAGTAATCGATTCAATAAAACGAAAATACGAAATAATATTTAGAACATGTCGACTAAACAGAAAGAATCGATCAATAATGCATCACAATGAAAATAAATGAGTTTTCAGTTTCTTCTTGAAGTCACGCAGGTTTAGGTCCGGATTTCTGAGAGCAGCAGGCAGGTTGTTCCAAACAGTTGGTCCAGAAACAGCAATGTTACGAGAGCCTATACGGAGACTCGTTGTTGTATGTACACATACATGTACATACATACATACATGTATGTATTTGAACTGTATGTATGAAAGTTTACAAACGAGAGGTCTTTGAGGAAAGTTACCATAGTGGTGATTCCGAGTAAGTCCTCTTGCACCAATTACATTGTATGTAATACATCTTTTTTGTGTACGATTGCTTTTAAATTTGAAGTCGACCACTGCAGCAGAGAAACAGGCATTCTTAGCCATTACACCATCTCTTGCTACATGTTGATTGAATATTAGCACAAGCAAGACAAGACTAACCACTGATATTTACGTTCTCGTCGGCATCCCGACACGACGAACACACTTGTTCTGGCGACAAACACATTATTTGATTTTCAATTTCGTGATCAGTGTTGTGTGGTCTGCGGTTTCGTTCTAATTGTGACATTTAATTTTTATGCTTTTACCAAAGTCTTCATTCAGCCACATCATGTTTATCATAATCAACAGGTCCGCCATTCATAGAATTAATGTTATCAAACCAACATGGACGGCCACTCATCAAATTTTGATTAAAATGTGTCATCGCAATCTTACTTCTTAATGGGGTTTTGTTTGTTTCATTGGTGCTCGAGACATTTTCGTAGAATGTTTGTTCAATCAACCGGGCTTTTGTCGGTGAGTTTTTTTGACTGGCTGTGTGGTTGACTCATGACGTTACTAATATCATTATAAGGCTACTTTTGAACTGTTTCTAAGATTTACATCGTTTACGCCATTAAGAATATATTTGTTAAGATAGGTTTCTCTAATTTGGCATCACACAACAAAGATTGTGATGTTTTAAAAATTGAAGAAGTGAAGAAGTAATATCCTGCTCCTCCTTCTTTCATTTCTTCAGCAAGAAAGTTCGGTCTTTCCGATGCTAACATGGTTGGCTTTGCGTTCGTCACTGCTGTTAATTTTGTTATCCATTGAAATGCGTTCAGTGGCGTCGATGAACTTTTCATCGTTGATTGGAAGAAGCAGAATTTCTTTTGGTTGGCGTTCAAAACGGAGTGACGTTGATGTAGGTAGTTCTCAGGCTGACACTGCTGGCCGATGTACTGCCATCTGAAAATCAAACAAACAATAAACACATCTTTCATCCTGTTCGTTCAAATAACAGTTGTCGGCGATAGGACCGAGTCTATCATACAAAACCTTTGCCTATTGCGTCACTGATAAAACGTTTGCCGACGTCATCAAGGTTTGCGTCTTCACGATTATGATGACAATGATGATGATGATGACGATAATGATAACGATGGACATGACGATGATGAAGACGACGATACTAATTTAGTTTGAGTTAATAATGCAGTGAGTAAAATATAATCACTAAAATTTATACAATAATAAAATGGAGTTATTGTTAATAAAACTTTTTACTCATTGCCTAACGCAAGCACGAAAAAGTTTAAAAGCATCAAAGAATGTTATCGATTATTACGTTCACAGTAGATATTGTACGACTGGGTTATTGCTGTTAAAATCAACTTATTTACAAACGAATCTGACCATAATTAATTGTAAGTTAAATTTATTAAAAAGTTGGTCCTGGGCATGACATAAAACTGCATCCACGCTGCCTTGCGTGCTTTTGAGCAAAGGCTAGGCCCACCGCTTATAACTGGTGGTTCTCGTCAGGATGGGTGTCCGGATGTAAAAACTTTTCCCAAAATTATTCCTATGCCATCACAAAGAAAAGGCCTTAATTGGTCAAGGGGTGCCAAGAATCCCTGGGAAGTATGCAATAGCGGAGGGATGTTGCAGAAAAATTCGGAATGGTCTCTCTAATGATACTTAGACTTGGAACGCTCAATGTTGGATCACTGACTGGCCGCAGGCATGGAAATCACAAAAATGATCGAGCGTAGAAAAATTGACATCTGCTGCCTTCAGGAGACCCGATGGAAATCGAATGGTGTTTGTCATGTCAACTCAGACAAAGAAAAATATAAACTATTCTGGAATGGTCAAAAGACGGCCGAATATGGTGTTGGAATTTTTGTCAAAACCGCTAGCCCAAGAAGTACTGGATATTAAAAAGATTAATTCACGTCTCATGTGGATCAAGCTTTGCCTAGAAAAGCAAACATTGATTATTTTTTCTGCATACGCATCACAGACAGGCTGCGTTGACACCATTTCAACAATACCAAAATCTGAAACAATCGTGATTGGAGGCGATCTCAATGGCCACGTTGGAGAGAAAACAGATGGTTTTGACAACGTACATGGCGGTTTTGGCTATGGAGAACGGAATGAAGATGGCAACCGCATCCTTGAGTTTGCTGAAAGTCACGGGTTTTTTTATTGGACACATATTTTAGAAAGAGGTTGGAACATCTCATAACATACAAAAGGGAACCATCAGCCACGCAAATTGATTTTTTCGCTGTCAAGCAACAACACCGAAGGCTATTCAAAAATGTTAAAGTTATACCTGGCGAATCATGTGTCGCTCAACATAAACTTCTTGTGGCAGACCTGGTTTTCAAACTGTCAAAACATAAGTCTAAACAAATCCCTCGGAGAATCAAAATGTGGAAGCTGAAAAACAATATTCATCGAGAAAAATTTCAACAGATTGTCGCAACACAGTTCGACCACCAATCGCAAGCCAGTACAGATTGGAGTACATACAAAACCGTTTTGATAAACGCTGCAACTACAGTTTGTGGGAAAACTGGTACAAAACGTCAGCATGAACGGGACACTTGGTGGTGGAATGACAGTGTACAAAATGCAATAGCTGAAAAGAAAGCTACATACAAGCAATGGCAAAAATCAAAGTCTGTTGATGACCATAAAATTTTCCGTGAGAAGAACAACTATGCAAGACGTCAAGTCGCACTGGCTCGGACAGATCAGTGCAGAGAGTGGTTCAATAAAAGCAAAGGTGAACAAATGAAATCTCTGTATCGTATAGCAAAACAAGCAAAGCGTACGAAAAAAGACATAGTTGGTGCCTCATGTATCAAAAACGACAAAAATGAGATGGTTCTTGAACAAGATGAGATCAAGCTACAGTGGAGAAAAAACTTCAACCCTCTGTTAAATGAAACAAATCCCATCAATGTCAACTTTGACGCTCCTCCATCGAAATCCCGCGTCGTGCTGGTTTAGATGATAGAAAGGGCGAAAGCCGGCAACACCGTCTGCGGTAGTTTGGTCATGTCAAACGTAGTGGAAACAGTGCCATAACTTTTCTTGCAGATGTTGAAGTACCTGGCACACGTCTCAAAGGCCGTCCAAAAAAGTCCTGGTCGTAAACAATTGAGTAAGACATGAAAGCTCCAAATTTAAATGAAATGGATACAAATGATCGTCTAATTTGGCGCAAAGAGTTGATGGCAAAGAAAACAACGTCCTACCTCGGGGAAACTGGGTCTCTGGACGCTAAACGAAGATTGATTGATTGTTCGTTCAAATAATTTTGGCACCCTTCCAATTGTAGCACTGAACTGACTGGAAGTTCAAACAATTTTTTAATTTATCATTAAATCCAAAACAAATATAGAAAAATTGCATTGAAAAATAAAATTGAGAATTTAAAATATTCAATCATAAGCAACTATAAAAAATAATTTAACAGTTGAATGTGTTGAATAATTTATTTATTATAACAGCAATGAAAAACGTTAAACCAAAAAAACAGCACTTAACTTAAATGAAAATTTCAATTCTTTTCCCAAATGCCATTTATTTGAGAACGAAAATGATTTTGTTAGAAACATTTCCAATCCAATTGAAACTAGTGAAACTTATAAATGATTTCAGCAATGAAAGTTTTAAATATTGTTTAAAAACAACCCTTAATGCTGATATTTTCAAAAAAATATTATTACATATTTAATATTTCAATGAATGAAATTTGAAAAGTGTCAAGTAGCATGAAGTTTTTACTTTATAAAATCTTTGTTGGCATTAAAACCCTATTGAAAACATCAACCAAAAGCATGGGTCATCTTATAAAATAGAAAAGACAGTTTCAGTGCACAACACGAGTTCAACATGGTAGAAATGCTTCAAGCGGTTTTTTATTTCTATATTGTTTATGTTTTAAAAACTGTAAATTCACGATAAACATTTCTAGCAGTTTAAACTGTTTAAATTATTTCCAATCAGAAAGGTTTACAAATGAATTATACTTTAAATGTATTACACACAGTTGAAATATTTTTGCGTACAATTGGTGGATGGGTAAGGTTGGTCTTTGCGATAATTTTTATTTCATATTTATTGTCGTTTTTTACCTTTAATTTCACATTGGCGTTTCATTATCGGCATTTATCATTAAGTCTTTCACCTGATCATCATTTTCAAAATCCTGAAACTCAACAAGGTGAAGTAACTAGATCTGTGTTTTGTGAAGGTGATAAAATATTTAAACAGTTTAAATAAAGTGAGATCATAAACTGAGATCATAAACTGAGATCATATCATTCCGCTGATAAAAATTTCAAACAATAGGAATAAACTCTCGTATTTATCAAATGTGTATATCACACTAGAAGTCGTTCTGCGTGATAGAATTATTTTTTTTCGATAGTTGTCACTGGTTAACTTATAATTTTAGGTTGAATAGCATATTGAAAATACTATAAAAAAATGAGAGTAGTCCAAAATTATTATCTTGAACATTTTCATTGAAAGGTCATTTTAACACCGATGGACCTAATATCATAATGTAGTAAAATACTATTTTACTTTCAGTACTACTCTATGAATTATCAAACTGTTGACTTTCCTAATACTTCAGTTAATTTTAACGTTTGGATTTGATGAAATTGATTAAATTCAATAATTGAGGTTAGTGAACGTATGAAATCATTTTCTTCAAGTTTAGAACAATCTGTAATCATATTGACTTTGAAACTAAAATCACTAAAAATTTAAAATAAAGCTCGAATGAAAAGTAAAGGGAAACATTTGCAAAAATTTCTCTATATAACACAGCAGTGAATGTTTTGAGGTTAATGCACTTGCAAAAATTTCTCTACAAAACACAGTCATATAACACAGTAGTGAATGTTTTGAGGTTAATGTTAAAAAATTGTTAAAATTAAATTTCATTAAACACAGTCATGCATCATGCATGTGTTCAGTACAGAGTGCAAAGAGCAAGGTACCCAGTACACAATTCAAATGATCAATACAGTGACTTCTTATCGAACATGTACTCTCCAAGATTTGGTTCAACACTCTCCAGGTTCTTGGTGTGGCAGCTCATACCGTAGATAGATTCCACTACCCTTTCAACAGGTCATCCTCCATCCAGTTGGTCAGCTGATTGTGCATAAAAATTGATAATGATTTATGGCAAAATTCAAGCATTTTTCATAGCCGAGAAAATACAAATTTATAGAAAATAGTTGGCAATGTTTTATCTAATTGCGAAAAAATTCAAATAATAAACAGTTGTAAATTTGTTGGAGCCATACAATTTTGGTAGTAACGTGTTGAATGAAACTGCTTTACAATTAACATCAACACTATCAACACTATTATTATTATTACCACTAATAATATTATTATTGTGATTTATACTATTATCACAATTATAATTTTCCAGCAAATTTATCATTATCATTAATCGTGCTGATGTCTTCACAGACAGAAATTGGTGCTTGTTCATTGACTTTTATATTATGCCACTAAGCCTATGGCGAAAATATGGTATTTTAGTTTTGTTTAGGATCATCAAGTATTATGCCAAACAATGGCTGTTGGAGAAAGATAATCTTTTATTTGATCGACTGGTAATATGCCATTTGTAACCATCTCTGCTTTTGAAGCCACATTTTACCAGGCGTTGCTGACACAGGAGCCTGTAAGTGTTTTGCTTTAGCAAAAGGATCTTCGACAGTTCTATGTGCCAATAAAGCATTAAATGTTGAACTTTTTCCAACATTTGGGTAGCCAATTAAACCAACGGTAATTAAGTTCATCACAGTCTTTTTCATTATCAATTTCTTTCGCATATATTTCTTAATCTTCCCATCTGAACAACAACGGATTTCTAGCATCAACAATCTAAAAAATTACGTCATTTTTTTCAATGGCTCTCGGTAACTGTCTCAAAAAAAACTTTTTCATATGGAGTTATTAAGATCTCTTCCATTTCTGACAGCATAGAGAGACCATGTCTCCATTCCAAAAACGAGGTTTTTTTCATTTTCATTCAACTGCTCGACGTTAGTTTGCTCATCCCATTTTGGCCTTTTTTGTATACGCAGCAGTGACTTTAAATCATTTTGAATTTTTTGCATTTTCGCTGATTCTTCAGCAGGCGGAACCAGGTTATCACATGAAATTAAAATTGAATTTGCGCGTTCAGAAAAAAATTTAGTCATGGCTAATTCGGCAGTAGAAAGAAATTCGTCACGTGTGTTCTCTTCTGTGATCGATCTAAAACTTATTTTTTTTTCTGTGTAATCTATCATTTAAATCAATGGTGTGAAGATCTCAAGACTTTGATGCATTTTTTCGGCCACCAAACCTATTTTTAATTAACGATTTTCCTAATAACGTATTTGATTTCGAATTCATTTCTATATGATAAAAGTCTTGTCAATCAAAGAACACGCCCTAACTAAAGTTTCAAGAGCTGAATGTCGATTTACATTGCTTTTATTCACTAAAGATTTAACCTCTCCGACAAATCCAACTAACTGGTTTATGGTCTTTGAACTTTTGAGGGCATGAGTCGTCAAGCTTTTGAACAATTTTTCAAACAAATTTTAATAACAAGGCATCTTATTCATTTTTCTGACCAATTTTATCTTACGCTTTCAATTTGTTATCAACTTATCATTTACCACCGTGAAAGCGTCGCTATTATTGTTCGTCGTTTCCGTCATCTTCATCATCATCTTCATCGTCTTCCTCATCATCGTTAGCAACAACAGCTTCTCAGTCTCCGGATAATTGTCATCGTTGTCATCATACTTATTCTAAACGTTGTGTTCACCAGATACACTCCATTATCATCATCATTATGATGATTATTACCACCACCACCCCTACCAAAACTACTATTATCATCACTATCATCGTCGTCGCCATAATCAATTGAGTTTATTACGTTATAAATATTATTATCAATAGAGAAGACTAACGATGCACGTACAGACTGGCGCTATAAAGAATCACTATCAAATTTATCATCGCGTCTTTATTATGGTTATTATTATTAATATTGAAATTTAAGAAGCCTGTGGTGCTGGACTTGAATTGCTTATTACTGAGCGATGTGATGCGTGATGATAAAGGAGGAGGAATTTTTATAGAGAAAATGTTGCTTGTTTCTTTGTTAACTTTTCTTTCTCTAGTCAACTATATGTTGATGATTCTTACATTTATACTTTTTTTCCTCCATCTAATCTCAATAGTGTTCTTCATAATCTATCTCTATGTCTTTCTTCAATTATCGCTTGTTCTGACTCTATGTGTCTTAAACTTAATCCTTCTAAGTTTGAATTATTTTGTTTTAATAAATCATCTAAACACTCTATTACTATTCCTCCTATTATCTTACCAGAAAGTAAATTCAAAAATTCCAAAAGTTGAAAATTGGATGAAAATTAATTTAGAAACAATTAAAGAAGAAATAAAAGAAATTATAAATAAACAACAGATGTCAATCCGTGCAACATTAGATACACATAGCGCGGAATTTGCAGCGGTAAATATTAAACTGGATTCATTGGCTGTCCAACATAAACAACAACATGTGAATTTTTTAAACAATGAACAGTGTGCAAACGCAGCAAATACAAACAATGTTAGTAGAAAAGTAAACGTTGAGTCAGTAAGTTTAAACAATGTAAATAACACGTTGCCACCAATTAATCAAAATGCGCCAGGAATTTTGTGGTTGGACGTCGTGTCATCACCCACTCTGGACGAAGCGTTCACGTTGGCGAAGCGGCACAACAAACGTCCACGTTTGAATGTCTCATTGGAGGTCAACAACAACGGCGAAACCACTTCAAACAACAACAACGAAAACACGGCAAACATCAAGACAGCTAAAAACAACAGAAGTTATTGGCAAAAAAGTTATTGAAGATTGTAAATTGAGAGCAGACAAAAATTAAATTAAGAAATCTGTGTTTTCAATAAGCAACCTTAGTAAATGCCATCGGAGAGATGTGGTTGAATTCTTGACATCCGTCGGAATTAACGTCATAACGTGTTATCCAGTTATAAAAAAAATTTTAAATGTCTTTAGAAAAAAATTTGGACAAAGATGAGCAAGAATCAACGATGTTTAGAGTCAGCATCGACAGTTCAAATGCAGCGGTGATGAAGGATCCTGAAGTAATGCCAAAAAATATTATTGTTCGTGAGTGGCGCTTCAATCAGAAAAAACCTGATGATGTCAATGCCCAAAATGGTTAGCACAATTTTTGATTATCAACTTGATAACAATGAAGAACATCTGTCACAAAATTCCACTATGTTTTATGATGCGAAATCTGTGAACGCTACATATCATTCAATTATTTCTGATAAGATAAATGTCTGCCCAATGTTAAAAGTCATGCATTTAAATATAAGAAGTCTAATAAACAAAATCGATGAACTACATGACTTTCTATTAAACTTTTATTTTAAATTTGATGTTGTTGCAATGACGGAAACGTGGTTAAATGACGAGAGTAGTATTGACATTGATGAGTACCAATTTGTTGGAAGAAATCGCTGCGGTAAGCGTCGAGGAGGTGTTGGTTTTTATGTGGAGACTGGATGTTTGTTCAAGATTAGAAAAGATCTAAATGCTATTGGTTGCAAAGATTTTGAAATGTTTTCAATTGAAATAATTAATAAAAACAAAAATTCGATTTTGATAGTTTTCTATCGCCCTCCTTCTCAAAATCAAAATTATTATCTCGACCAATTAGAACAGGTGTTACATGCAGCAAGTAAAGAAAATAAATTTATCTGTTTATTGGGAGACTTTAACATCAACTTATCTTCCGCAAACGATGACAGTAATAAAACAAATTTGTTAAATCTCGCATCAAGTTACAATATGTCCCTACTCATCACAATTCCAACAAGAACCAGCATTAACAAGCAATCAGTAATAGACAACATTTTTGTGAATCATCTAAAACCATTAAAACTAAGTGGCGTATTGTTGTGCGACCTACCTGATATTTTCCAATCTTCGCATTATTCGAAGAGGCAGATAAAAGCAATGGTGTTCAACAAAAATGAAATTTTCATTTTCAGCAAATCGCCTGCATAGATTGAATGAGTGCTTGCAATCTTTAGACTGGTGTCAAGTATTTGAATGTTTCGATACAGATATGAGCTTCGAGCTATTCATCAACAGATTTCGAACTTGTTTTTATGATATCTGCGTTATAAATTCACAAAATAAGAAAAAGAAACTGACAAAAACAAAACCATGGTTCACTGGAGAAATTAAAAATTACTAATGAAAAAAAATTGCTATTCAAAACTTATTTGAAAAATCCATCTCCAGAAAAATTATCAAAGTTTAAAACGTTAAGTCAGTTTTGTACGAAGTTAAAAAACAAATTGAAGCGCAAATATTACATGGAACAGATCGAGCAAAATAATAGTAATAGTTAAAAAACGTGGTCAATAATAAAGGAAATTTCAAAAATATCTACCAGTCATAAAACTAAATCTCAGTTAACTTCAAACGAACAGATTATTGAAAACCCTGCACATTTTTTGAATGAATATTTTGTCAACAGAGCTCCAAATTTGCTCAATTCATTTCAAACAGACAAACAATGTAAAACTTTTCTTCGCAACAAAACATCAAATTCATTTTTTTGTCTCCATGCATCTGCAGATGAGATAATTTTCACAACCAAATTGCTGATACCAAAGTCGTCTAGCGGTTGGGATGATATTCCAATAAAAATTGTAACATCAACAATTCACTCCACCGCCCAGGTCCTTGAACCAGGGCCTCGTGTAACATTGTAACTGGGTGACAAAAATGCTACGCAGCGTTGATTTTTTGTTACCCAGTAATGTTGATTTCGTGCCACTGGGTGACAACAATTTTGTATTACAATTTAATTACGAGAAAATTGATTTTCAAAATTATAAAAGCTGGCCTCATACATTTATATATAAGCATAGAAATCTGATGTATCAACCAACGTCAATTAATTCGTTGTATGTTTTTTCAATCCTTATATATATATCTTTGGTTGCTTTCCTTGACGAGACGACGGAGTACTGTTTAAAAATTAATAAAATTTTCTGATTAAAATAATTACAACAACAATGGTTCAAATTTGAAGAATAGAGAAGACTTTTTTTCGTTTGTTAAATAAATATTTTGTTAAATAAATTATATTTTTATAGCATTTTTTTTACAAATTTGAAAGTATTTCTCATAATTTCGTCGGGTAACGTCACTAATGACTAATCACACGTACGCGTAACGTAAACGAAACCAAACGTAATAAACGGTTCAAAATTCAAAGGCACATGAATTTATAATTTGAAATGTATATAGATAATACGGTTAAATGTTTAGTTATAAGGTAGTAGTGGTATAGAATTTGTTTTTTTTTGGATTTAAGTGATTTAACAATTTTGAAATCTTATTGAATCTTTTATTGAATCTTTGATTCAATATTTTAAAAAATTGCAAAGCAAATTGATGGCTAATTTATGCTATTATTATATTATGTTTTTATTAGACTTTGGTTTTTAAAATACTTTATTTTTAAGCTTAAGCTGGATTGATTTGATTCAATTTCAAGGCACATTTAACTCAAAAGGTTAATATCTTGGAATTACAGATAATTTATTATATATTATTGTGGTATATATTTATTTGTTTTTGTAGGTAGTATAAATTTGGAATTTTTGGGTTTTGTATTAAGTTTCACATAATTGAATTTGTTTAAATCCAGGATTGAATGTATTCAATTTTATTTTATTTAGTTAGTTCCTTGTATTCAGAAATACATATATTTTAATTTAAAATTTAACTAACTTGATTACTGAAAGTCTATTGGGTATAATATTTAATTTATTGTTAATCAATTTCTGTAAAAAATTTGTGTTTTTTAAATGTGATAAATATCTTTAAATAGATTATAGACTTTTTTAAATATTTAATATTATTTCTGTATAGTAATGCCATTTAGATATTGATATTTTAAACTATTTAATTATTCCTAATTAGTAGAAGTTTAAAATTTTTGGGTTTTGTTTTAATTCCACAAAATTTGAATTTGTTTAAATCATAGATTGAATGAATTCAAAAAATAAAAGAATAAATTAACATAACACAATTATTAAAATTATATTACATATTTTTAAATTTTTTTAATTCTTTGCAGTAGCTTAGATTTACTTGTTTTGATTGTGATTTCAACTTTAAATTTAGCTAAACTGATTACGAAAAAAAATTTTTTTCTCAAAAATTTCCAACTAGTTTTATTTATATGGTTTATTGATTATAATATTATCGTTAATATTTTATTAAATTTGAACTGATATCAACTCTTATTCGCCTTACAGTTGATGTACACAATGATTCAGTAACCAAAACGCTGTCAGCTTGGTCTTGGCCAAGTCGTTCACTAGCACAAATGCATGCCAAAAACCAAGTTAAGCAATACATTGATCACGGTCTTGATTGTGACTTTGTGGCGTTTAATCCACCCCAGTCAGCATTGCATTACAGAAATCCTGACCGGCACAGAGAGATATTATCATTTGTGTCCAAGCATGAATTGAGCAGAGTTATTCAAGCATTTAAAATCGCAGACTGTGTCGCCCTGCAAATTGACAAATCTGTTGATAAATACAATGCTGACAGTTTGTTTGTTACTGCCCGATACATGGACAACACTAATTTGGTGATGAAAGCTAGTTTTCTTTGCGAATGCCACAGTGAGTTAAGAGGAGTAATTGGGATGGTCGATGCTTTGCAGAAACGTTTCCAGTATCTTGAAATTGAAGATGTCATTAAAGCAAAGATGGTGGGTCTTACGACAGATGGGGGAAAATTCAAATACTGGACGTCACGGAGGGTTGTGGGTAAAGATGTCTGAGTATTTAGGGCACAACATGTTGACATTTTGGTGCATAGCTCACAGATCTGACCTGGCTTTTGAAAGCGTTGAAAACGTGGTTCCGGAGTTTTGTCATTGGTTAACAGATGTAAAAAATGTCGCTACTTATTTTCGTGGATCAAGCTACCGACAAGAAAACCTGCTGCAAGTTTGGGTGAGACTGCTAAACATTTTCCACGGCATCATAAAGTTCGTTTTGCGAAACACCTTGCCTATGTTGTACTTGCAGTTCTGTCTAATCATCAGATGATGTGCGCTCACTGGAAGACAGTTGTACAACGAGGTGAAAATAATGAAAAACAAAGAGCAAGAGGTTTTCTGAAGGATTGTTCCCAAACTTCATTCAACTTAAACATGAGTGCTGCTGCTTTGAATATCTTGCGACAGTTCACTGATTTACAAAAAGAAACTAAACGCACGTTTGTTACCTTGGCTGATTTGATGCAAAAACGCGACCACGTACTTCAGCGTCTTTCCATGATGGTAAACAGTCCATATCCTGGGGGATATGAAGAAAATTTACAAAATAATAGTGGACTTGCATCTACACAGTCACTGCAAACTAAAGCAAATGATAATCAATTTCAGAGAAATGTGAAAAATTTGTATGTTACAACACGCAATAGAAATTTTGAAGCAGTGCGTCTTGAGGTAATCACATGTGCAAAAACTTCCTTGAGAGAAGGTTGGATGTCGATCAGGATTTAGAGGTAAAGGCAATGATAGATGTTGCCAATGCTGAAAATGCTGAAGCAATGATCAAAGCCGGTCGGCAAATTGTATCAGATATTTTTGGTGATAATTATGTTTCAGAATTTGTAGATGATGCTGTTGGTTTCTATTCATCATTTGGTGCTTCATCTTTTAAGCCGCATGAAAGCAATACTGCCAAGTTGTACTTATTGCTACAAAAAACAACACCGTCGTCTCTTTTAAACAAGCTGGTTCGAACATTTCTTATAACTTGCCCTCACAGCGTGATCACGGAACGGGTAATTTCATGCCATACAGAATTAAAAAGCGACCTTCGATCATCAATGTCGAGAAATACTGCGAATGACCGATTATGCATTGCTTTAAATGCTATAGGTACCGCAAATTTTGATCCTCGGCCACCACTGGCCGAGGATCAAAAACGAGACGATCGACTCTACCAGATGATGAACTTTACTGAAACAGGGAATTTGTAAAAAAGTTTTTTAACACTGAAAATAACTTGTGATTAGCTAATTTAACATCAATTGTTTTTTTTTTATACTGTGCCGTTAATAAAAAAATGTCATTTATTTCAAATTGACAAAAGAGTTAGTGCATGTGCATTTTTAAAGCATCAACATTTACATAAACAAAATCATGAACAATTTTTTATTGACAATTTAAATTAGACGTTTTGTCATTAGCCCATTCCTGGTACAAATTAGCTTATTCCTTAGGCTTGTAATCTATGTTTTTACCGCAAGATTGAAGAATTGTATTCTTCCATGAAAAAAACTTCATTTTCATTAGAAAGTTGATGCAATATCTATTAGGCACCCGCAGTGTTGTGCAGTATTTAAATACCCAAAGTATTTAAATAGTATTTAAATACCGACTTCGGTATTTAAGAAAGTATTTAAATACCGCTTGAAAATCGAGTATTTAAATACCAATTCAATCGAGTATTTAGTATTTAAATTTTTTTAAATACTAAATACTTGTCACTTAATATTTTTTATCTGCGTATGAAAATCTGAAAAAATTTTTTAATCGAGTTGTTTTATAAGTTACAGCTAGTTCCGATCGCTAGTTTTTTTTATATAATTTTTTTCTGTTTGTCATGTATAAGCGTAAGTGTATAGTATTAGTATAGTAATCAACGTATGACTTAAAATATATATTTATATTATTTTTATGCATTATAGTATATTAATACATTTTCTAAATAATGTTTGCAATTATATTGAATTTTGGAATGATTATATTTTACGATTTTTGTGGCAAATTATTTTCGTGATTATCTTCACGCACCTTCCTAATTTCTAAAAAATTTGTTTCCTGTCTTGCGTTTTTTTTTTATTTAAAAATTCGTAATTATGGCAGCAAGAAGCGAGGAAAATGATAATGAGACTGAAAATAATTGGTTTACCAAAGGAGTATTCAGATTATTTGAATTCGGTGAAAGAGATATTTATGTCGTAAATAGTAATAGTGATGCAAAATTAACCGGGAAGTGTAGATTATGCATAAATATCAGTATTAGTGGACGCAAGAATGTTTCATCAAATTTCCTAAAACATATTACGGTAAAAGTGAACGATGTTTTATATATTCATCATAGCATTATTTAAAAGATGACAAAATAATTACAATGTTAAAATTTAAAAATATTTCAATGTTTTGATGTTTTTACAGAATTACTTATAGTCTAATTATTTATTTCGATGCTTAACCCTAGAACTACCAGCTTCACGCATTGGACCCATCCTCGATGTTTGATGTGATGTAGATAGACAAAAAAATTTGTAAAAATTTCCAAAAATTCTGACTTTTTCTAAATACTTATTGTCAAAAAAAAAAATGCAAATTTATAAATTTTTTGGCATTAGTAATTACGCTATAAAAATTCAAGCACCACTTACCGACAGGGTCTGTTGGACCCACATTCATTTTTAAAAAGTATTTATTATTTAGATTCACTTTTATTGTTGTTTCCATGGTAGTAGCCATTTAATAAATATACTTTTATTTGAATTAATTGTGTTTTTGTTCCTTATAATGTCAAAATCAAAGATTTCTCTAAGTAAAGCTTGCGAAATGATTTTAGAAGAAAGTGAGGAAGATGATTGCGAGGATTATGTTGCATCAGATGATGATAATGAAATCGATTGTGTTGAAGAAAACGAAGTTAGTAATAGTGAAAGCGAAAATGACATGAAATCTGATTTGATGGCTAATACTATTACGCATGAGGAAACGTATTTATCAAAAAATAAAGAAATTGTGTGGCATAGTACACAAGAAACAAATACACAAGGTCGTGCCAAAAGTTTCAATATTGTAAAAGAAAGTCCAGGATTCAGCAATTATGCAAAAAATAACGTTGATTCAATATCTTCTTCTTTTTAGATTTATTTCAGATCTAGTTTGTTGGAACAAATATGTCATTTCACAAATCAAGAAGGACAACTGGTGTTGAAAGATGGTTATAAGAAGTTATGTGTCAATGAACTAAAAAAGTTTATTGGAGTTCTCATATTAGTTGGTGTATATAAATCTAAGAATGAACCAGTTAGTCAGTTATGGAGCGGAAGTGATGGCAGACATTTATTCAATAAAATAATATCAAGAACCAGATTTCATGAAATTTTAAGAGTTCTGAGATTTGATGATGCTGCATCACGCAGAAAACATAGATCACCAGACAAATTAGAGCCAATAAGAGATTTATTTGAATCATGGAATTCTACTTTAAAAGATCCTTACAAGTTGAGTCATACAGTAACTATTGATGAACAGTTGGTCACCTTTAGAGGGAGATGTCCCTTTCGTCAATATATTCCTTCCAAGCCACAGCCATTTGGCATTAAATTTTGGGCATTGTGCGATAGTAGCTCAAATTATGTTTGGAATTTGGAAATTTATAAGGGGAAAGAAAAAGATAACCCAAGGGAAAAAAATCAAGCTGAAAGAGTGGTCCTAACTCTGATAAGGGGATTGGAAAATTCTGGCAGAAACATTACGTGTGACAATTTTTTTACGAGCATTGGTTTGGCAGAAAAGTTATTCAAGAAAAATCTAACAATTAGAAAAAATCGTCCGGAATTGCCAGATAAATTTATTTCTCCAAAAGGTAGAGATTTATATTCATCATTGTTTGGATTCAAGGACAATTTCACTATTGTTTCTTATATGGCAAAGAAAAATAAAACTGTTACATTGTTGAGTACAATGCATCACCAACCAGAATATGATAAAAATAATGAAAAAAAGAAACCAGAAATAGTTCTTTATTATAACAAAACCAAAGCTGGAGTTGATACAATGGATCAGATGACAAGAGGGTATAGCACTAAACGGATGACAAGACGATGGCCACTTGTTGTGTTTTATAACATGATAGATATAAGTGGATTAAACGCTTATATCATATGGAAATCAATGCAATCTGAAAAAAGTATCAAAAGAAGGCAGTTTTTGATTGATTTGGGCAAAGAACTAACGCTTTCAGAGGCGCCACTGCAACCTACAGCAATTTTGAATATAGATGAACCAGCGAGAAAAAAACGATGTGTGTTGTGTAGTTATAAAAAAGACAGAAAAACTAAATCATTATGTGCAAGATGCAAAAAAAACATTTGTTGTGAGCATTCCGTTGTAATTTGTAACAACTGCAACATTTAATCTATGATTTTTAAGTGACTACATTGTTTATCAAACATTTATTTTTTAACTGTTCAGAAAAATTTCTTGTTTTTGTATATTTTGCTTATTTGGAGATTGCTATATTTAGAAACGTAAAACGTAAACATAAAAATGAGTCAAAATTAAATTTTAGTTTAAATTAATGACATGTCGATATGTGGGTCCAACGGACCCACATTGGTAATCAGCGCTATAAAAAAATGTTGGTAAATCCAGGGTTAAATAATACAATGACAACAATATCAGAATTCTCAGCACTTGCAAACTTGGTAATATTATTGCTAAAAGTATACATGAATTAAAACAAAATTAAATTCAGTTTATACTGTTTAAATAAAATAATTGTGTAGATTTTATTTTATGTATTTTCTTATGTATTTTCTTTTTTGGTTCTGTTTTGTATTTTTAATGTTATATATATTTTAACTAACACTTAGTTCTACAATTTTAAATAAAGATACTTGATAGCAGATTCAAAGAAAGATATTTAGTAATAGCTATAGATATAAAAGCAAAAGATACCTTTTGCATTATACTGTCAATACTGATGTGTTAATGTTTCTTTTCTTTCATTTTACAGAGTTGTCATCCGGCATCTCTTCGGGAACTCAAATCTGAGAACAGAGAGAGGCAAACACATGCTGCTGAGTGTAGTGCCAGTAAACAACCCAAGCTGTCATTTAATAAAGTCACAATGGCTCAGTCAAAAGTCGACAAACTAGTACTGGATTGCATTGTGGATGAAATGAGACCACTAAAAACAGTGGAGGCACAGCCATTCAAAAACCTCGACACTGGGTTAGTTCCATCGAATACAGTTATGTGTAGAAGAACTGTACAGGAACGTATAAACAGTGCATATGATGTAATGATAAGTAATCTGCAGTCTTCCCTCAGTGAGGCAAAGTATGTCTGCACAACAGCAAATTTATGGTCCTCTGCAAATAGATCATTTCTTGGAATGACTGTTAACTGGTTTGATGTCAATAATGATCAACTGGAACGACAATCAGCAGCTTTGGCATGCAAAAGATTTACTGGTATTCACTCATTCGATAAAATAGCTAGAGCAATCAGTACAGTGCATGAATCTTTCAACATAGAAGCGAAAGTTGTGAAAACCTGCACAAACAATGGATCCAACATGGTAAAAGCATTCTCAGTATTCTTTTGTCCATTTGACAATAATCTTGATAGTAACAAAGATGTGAACAATGACATGATTTCATTGCCAGCTGACAGTGATATGGATATAGGCATGACAAGCAAAGGTCATAGCCCTTCTGCTGATTCTGATGATGATTCTGTTAATGAGTTGGATGATGATAAAGCAGTCTTTGATTTAAATGTTGGTAAAACTATTGACGAATACAGAAGAGAATCGGATCTATCAGATGATGACATATGTCTTCCAGAACACTTAAGATGTTGTTCTCATCCTTTAAATCTGGTTGCGACAGCAGATGCTGGCCATGCATTAGATGATAAAACGTATAAACGATTAAACAGGCAGGCAATGGCTAAGGCAGCTGCTCTTTGGAATATTACGAGTCGAAGCACCAAAGCTGCTGATGCTGCATTTAGTATACTTGGATTTCGTTTCTCTGTTCCATGCGTGACACGGTGGAATTCATACTATGCAGCAACTAAGAAGATAATCATTGCAGAAGAAAAACTGAATGATGTTTGCAAAGCTGTATGATTACCTGTTATTAGTCAGGCCGAAGTGTTATTTTTAAAAGAATATGTCGATGTTATGTCACCTGTAGCAATTGGCTTGGATATTCTTCAAGGGGAAAAGAATTGTGCACTTGGATATGTGCTACCTACTCTAACAGTTATGAAAAGGAAACTTTTGAATATCAATCTTCGTAGCACAAAGCCTTTACGAGATAGCCTGCTTGAAGGAATTGAACGCCGCTTTGGTAGTCTTTTTGACAGTTCTGAATTCATAATGGCAGCTGTTACTCATCCCAAATTTAAACTTGCATGGGTTGATGATGGTGAAAAAAGAGCGCAGTGCATTCAGATGCTGGAGACAGAGATTAAGAAAAATTCTGATAGGTAGTCTTTTTGACAGTTCTGAATTCATAATGGCAGCTGTTACTCATCCCAAATTTAAACTTGCATGGGTTGATGATGGTGAAAGAAGAGCGCAGTGCATTCAGATGCTGGAGACAGAGATTAAGAAAAATTCTGATAGGATTATGGGTGAATATTCTTATTTTGGTTTATTTAAAATTTTATTGAAACGTATTGTGAGAGTTTCAATGTATAAGACTTGTATAAAATAAATTGAATTTGATTGTGTGTTTTAATTAAACTCCACTAATGTACTCTAAAGCGATCACATTGGTAACTTTGGTACTTTTGCTAACATTTTCCATAATGGACCAGTGACATAGCTTTGTGAAAAAAAAATTTAATACAACTGGAGAAAAGTTGTAATCTGTGTGAGTGTGATTAAATTATTATAAATTTATTAGGAACAATATAATCTTATAACTAATGTTTAAAAATCGTTTACCAAAAAAAAAATTTTAAGTTTATTTCAATTATTTATAAATTGAATCAAATTTAGCAATAATTTATTATTTTATTGCTGCTGCTACTTCAAGTCTTGTTTGTGATACTGTACCGTCAGAATCAGTTGATGACTTTTTCAATTTCACTGCAAAACACACAGAACAAGATCAAAAGTACCTTCAATATTTGAATGACGCCGACAAAGATTTATCTATGCTGAACAAACATCCTGAAATAAAGGAATTATTTCTTAGATATAACACATGTTTGCCATCTAGTGCTCCTGTTGAACGCCTTTTTAGTTATGGTTCTTTGGTACTCACCAAAAAAAGCAACAAACTTTCTGACAATTTGTTTGAAAAACTATTATTAAAAATTAACAAAAGTTAATTTTTATTAATTACTGTTAATTTTAACTTTACAGTGACAAAGATTAAGTTCTTTCTGTTGATTAGGTTGGACTGGAACTTAATTTTTTTTTTATATTGAGCTGACGTTCTTACGTTTAAAGATTATTTAATTGACGGGCAAATTGTGTCTCAATTAAATCATCTTTTAAGAGCAGTATTTAAAAGTATTTAAATACTGATTTTCAGTATTTAGTATTTAAAAAATTTTTTTCCAGTATTTAGTATTTATATAGTATTTAAATACTCAAAAAATTGCAAAGTATTGGAAAGTATTTAAATACCTCATGACTGAGTATTTGTCACAACACTGGGCACCCGTAATTTGAAAAGAATTGATACTATAATTATCATTTCCAAAACTTTTAAAACTTTGTCACCTAGTGAAAATTTCTTAGACGAGGCTCTGCCTTGAACACATCATCAACCTTTCCTTCACAACCGGTGTTTTTCCAAAGTGCCTCAAAATATCCAAAATCATACCAATACAGATAGTTACTGGTAATAATAACGTTTCTAACTTCCGACTAATTTCACTTGTACCAGCATTCTCAAAAGTAATTGAAAAAATTATGCACAGGAGAATAATTTCGTTTTTACAAAAAAATAACATCATTTCAGATTACCAGTTTGGGTTTCGAGAGAAACATTCAACAGAACTGGCCATCATCGAACTGATAAAAAAAATTGGTAATCTAGCGGAGAAAAAACATTTCACTGTAAGAACATGCCTCGATCTGTCGAAGGCATTTGATTGTATCGATCACGACATCTTGGTAAGCAAGCTTTAGCACTACGGTATAAGAGGTACGACATTGAAATGGTTCAGGAGTTATCTCTCTGGAAGAAATCAGTTTGTTGGGGAAATGAAAATTCAGCATTACGACACAATGGTGTCGGAGTTCCTCAAGGAGGAAGCATCTTAGGACCACTGCTATTCATCATCTTCATCAACGATCTACCAGATGCAACCGACTACTTCGATTACGTTTGCTTTGCTGACGACACAAACATTTTTGGAAGCGGGAATAATATTGATGATGTTATCGATCAAACCAACGCTGAAATAAAACACGTTGTCAAATGGTTCAACTCCAATAAACTGACTAGAAACATTTCAAAAACGCAATTGATTGTCTTCGGACCAGTGCAATATTTAAATTATAAAGAACCGTATAAAATTACAATCAACAACCAAGAAATAATCGAGAGTAAAACAATAAAATTTTTAGGCATTTTATTAGATCAGAAACTAACTTTCAAACCCCATGTCAATTACGTTTCAAACAAGTTAGCGAAATCTATCGGAATAATGAACAGAATAAAATTTTACCTTCCGAAAAAATGCTTGAACATGATCTATAACGCCATCTGTCTACCTCACGTGACGTACTGCAATGTTGTTTGGGATAGTGCGTATCAAACGACCACAACCCCGTCAAGATGCTGATGAAGAGGGCAATGAGGGTCATCACGCTGTCCAGGAAGCAAGCGCACACCAATCAACTATTCGTCGCCACCAACAATTTAAATTTTGACAAATTAAATCTTTATTTTGTGGCAAATTTTCAAGCAACTTACAAATAGGCTCCCATCAATTTTTAATAATTATTTCATCTTCAATAAAAGTTCTAGACAAGTTAAGTATTTATTATCAAATAAATCAAAGACAAATATTCTGTATTCGCATGTTGTATGTAAGGGTCCTAGAGTGTGGAATCAAATTTTGAAAGATGGTTTTTGTTATGAAAATTTGTTTGCAATCTTTAAAAAGAAATTAAAACTGTTTCTGTTGTTGAATGACCAATGACCAACCGTAAATCAATATAGATATGGAGAACTATTTTTCAATTTTTATTTGCGCCTTGATTGCCATTGTTTAGTTAACATTTCTGTTTAGCTTTTAGAACAATGTCGTTCTATATACTGCTTAAATATATAGATAACTATGCAATGTCTATTTAGTGTTTTTCTGGATAGATACCAAACATTATTCTAAATTAACAATGAACCATCGTACTAACATACTTATATTTTGTCATCTATTCATTTTGTTTGAACTTAGAACATTTTTGGTCAGGTGGCCATACTAGATGAATTTTATATAAATTCTATTATGGTCATCCTGCTTTCTTTTAATTTTCAATTTTGAGAAGCAAATAAAATTTCGTTTCGTTTCATATCGCATAATAGGTTACCAGACTCACCGACATAAAAATATAATGTTACACAACTATTACTACTATTATTAGTTATTCTCTATCTCTTTCTCTTTATTTCTCTCTCTCTCTCTTTTCTCCTTTTTCTTTCTATAACTCTTGAAAGCAGGTGGAAAAACACAAATGTTTGTATGTACATGATGGTTTATATTTTACTATAATGGGAGAATATCAGAATTTTATAACCGGCGCTATGTAAATAAATAAATATACATATGTGTGTGAAAGAGTTTGAATGTGTTTCTTTGTGTATGTTTGTATGTGTGTGTGCGTGTGTGTGTGTGTGCGCGCGCGTGTGTGTAGCGCAAATAATAAATAACGGCCAACCAATTAGAGCCTTGTGCAGTTAACCGCAACCTCGGTTTTAACTGCAAAACCGCACCATAACCGCGGTTACGGGCGGTTGCAGTTTCAAATCTTGCGGTTGCGGGCAGTTGCAGTTTTAATATTTGTAACCGCATTAAAACCGCGGTTATTTGCGGTTGCAATTTTAGTTGAATGCGGTATTTGCGGTTACAAATTTTTCAAATCATTTTTTTTTATCTCGTTTGAAATTAATTTTTTAAATGTCGATTTTTGGATGCTTTAAAATCAATTTCGCTTCTTCTCTTCTTTTCTTATGTAGAAGTTGGTTAGCGTAGATTTTTATTTCAGTTGTTATTTTACAATAATCGTTTTAAATCGCCATAGTTATGTCATTCGATAAAATGATGCCTGCTGATTATGATGACGAGGATGATGAATTGTCAGAAACAACAAATGAAACAAAAGATAAAGTTATTGACAAAGAATTCATTCTCAATTTAATGCTGACAAAAAATCCAGATGTCACGCTACAAAGTCAACAAAATTTTAAGAGCGAGATCTGGAACCGATTTTATCGCATATTTCATAAAAATAGTGCAACGGCATATGCCTGGTGCAAAAAATGCAAACTAAAATGTATCCATAAGCAAGATAGGAACACCGGGACATCCAGTATTAAGAGTCACAAGTGTATCGTGGGCTGTAGCCAACAGTCAATAATTAACTTCGTTAAGCTTTTTAACTTATATTTTATCATTATTTCTATTTTTTGGCTATCTAAATTGATTATGAAACAGTTAATTTGAAATTGGATTTAGATCTGTTATTACCTTTTTCCTTTTTATAAGTTTTTGTAAACATATTAACTCGTTTTTCGTTAGGTTGTTGATATGTATGTCTATGTAATCATCACTTTTCGGCTTAGATATCGTTTCATTTTATTTTTTTAACTTTCATTTTATAAAATAAAGGAAAACAAGAATAAAGATTGTATAAAACTACCACTAAATATCAAAAGTGAATTAACATGATATTGTTGAGTGGTACTGCCTTAACTTTAGACCCTTCAATATTGTTGAAGATGAAGGTTGAAAAAAGTTGCTACAAGGTTTCTCAACTTTGGCCAAAAATATGGTGCCCACATTTCATTGGACAACATTCTGCCAGCAGCAACCACAATTTCATCTTATGTTGAAAAATGTTCTGGCAGCATAAAGGACAAATGAAAACAGAGATTTAATAAGGTAAAATAAAATTTAATTCCATGTTGAAGATTTTTTTAATGCAATAAAATTTTATAAATCAATTTCGTTTTCTTATATAAGCATCCTGGTCTGAAATCATTTACCTTTGTCCACTGGAAGTGTGCCATCACAAATACTGGTTTTCAAATTATAACTGCACACTATTTTGAAGTAGATGATACTAATGGTAAATGGATATAGCGAGATTAGGAGAAAGGAAGACATCTGAAAACATTAGAGACAGATCAAAAACAGTTCTTCAAGTAACTTCATTATCATTGCATTATTCTAAATAGTTTGGAATTTATTTGTTATTTGCCATTAATTTATTAATTGAAGAAGTTTGGACTTAATTTTACAACATAAACATGAACAACTGATAATGCCAGAAACACGATAAAAGCATTTGAAGGTGTCAGAAGGGTTGGATGTGCATCCCAAGATTTAAAGTAGAGTTCGCTTTTAAAAAAGAAAAATTGAATAACTCTGAAGACGAAAAGTCAAGCAAAATTTTATTGTACATGAAAACTGCTAAAAACCTTGTTCGTTACTGCAAAAGATCCAAGTTGGTATATTGTGAAATTATTAATATTAAAGTGTAAGCTTTCATAATTATTTGATAATGTTGGTAATGTTTAAAATTTTGTTGCCATTTTATTCACTAAAAACGTAGTATATAGTATAACATAATATTAAATGCTACATCTTTTTTGGACAACCTAATAGATATATTACTTCCAGTAAAATTGGCCACTAAAATGTTTTCCCAAGACAAATCCCCAACCATCCATCTCAAGGCAGCAGTGAAATTAAAAGTACTTACTGATTTGGATGATCTGGAAAAAAATATTCAGAGAATCAAATGGAGATGAATCATGACAATAATATTAATTTTGAAGATCTTATAAAAGTAACCATAAAAAAGTTAAGATTTCTATTTTGGCACACACAGACACACACACACACACACATATATATATATATATATTTATTTATTTATAACATATCTATTTATACATATAAATATATAATTATTTATAAGCTAATTATCTAGCAGTTCGAGTGTAATATGAAAAGAGGCATCAGAGAAAAAATAAAAATAGATGACTTGCATAATGCTGCAATGCTTTTACACCAGAAGTTCAAGAAAATCATTTTTAAAAATATTAGCAGCTTGGAATTTAAACGCCTAGAAGAATATATAAACAAGCTAATTTTAGAATTCACTGGCCACATGGAAAACAGTGAAAAATTTAATTTTGTTTAAAATAAAGGTTGCTATTTCAAACCTGATAAATTATGATTAGTATAACGTTGTTTATTTCAGTTGGTTACATCAAAGAAGAAAGATCTGCGGCAGCCCCGAGAAAGAAACAAAAACTCAGCGTGGAAATAAATGAAGTAAAATATTTTACTCGGCTAAATTAAATTTCAAATAAATTTGACTTTTGTATTTTAAGAAACTCAGAAGCAATATAATAACATTTTTTTACGACAGGATGAAATCTTCCAGTTACTTTTAAAAGACGAAAAATCTTGCAAAGACAATTGAGTGCGTACATCAAAGAAAAAACGCCCCATAAAGAAGTTATTGATTATTGGATGAGCAATCGAGAAACAATCGAGCAATCGAGAATCTGAGGGAACTCTGCTTCATCTTTGCCATACCAATTTCAAGCATTTCCTCAGAAAGAGTTGGCTCATCACTTGGCTACACATTGCAAAACTGAAGGGCAAGTTTGGATCCAGACAAAGTGCAACAAATGTTGTTTGTTAGAAGCAATAATAACTTGAACAATTAAACTGTAAAAGTTTAGACAATTAAACGTTAATTTTTCAAACGTGATTACACTAATAATTTACATGTATATTAGTCCATGTATATTATTATTATTAATAAAACTTAATTAGTTTAGTGTAGATGGGAAAGTGACCACGGATGTGCAGTTAAACTGCGGGCAGTTAAACTGCGGATGGGCGGTTTAACCGCGGTCTTTTTGCGGTTAATCTCTCTCCGGTAGCGGTTTTCTCCGTTGTGTTTTGCGGTTGGTTGCAGTTAGCCTCGTTACCGTTTCGACGATTGTGGTTTGAATATTTGTAACTGCACAGGGCTCTACAACCAATTAACTTCTCAATGGTAAATTTCAATGAAGCCTTCATCCATTCAGCCATTAGCTTTGTTTAAATTTTAAATTTCAATGTAAATATCAAAGCTACACAATAAAAGCACACATACACTCACACACACGCATAAACACACAAATACATGCTCACATAACACACACATTTAAATAACACTCCCTCAGTTGCATATATAACATTACACATTTGTATATAATACAATATATAACACTATGTTAGGTTATATAACAGATTTCAACAAACAGCTTATTGAGTTAAACACGCTTACACGCACACACATACACACACACAACACACACACACATATACACAAACACGCATCACACACAAAAACATAAAAAGACACACATATAGAGAGAGAACATACACATACAAACATACATCCAGAATTACCTATCCATTGATATAACAAGCTTTTATAATGTTCAAATAATAAAATACAATTAAATAATTAATACACATGCTACACACACGCACACACACGCACACACATGTTTTTTTTTACCAATTTTTTTTGTAATAATGAAAAAACATAATTGATTTTTTTTCGAAATGTGATCATCAGCAGCAATCCGTCAGCAATCTATCATAAAAAATTTATTAACTTCTGCTGGCAGCCTAGCATTTATTATATAATAATGTTAATAATAATGATTATAATAGTAATAATAATAATGGTAATAATAGTGAAATAATAATGATAATTAAAAATAAAAAAAAGACAGACTGATATTTTGTTGAATTGATTTGTACAAATCACGCTATATAAATCTTAATCATATTAATTAAAATGATGTTTTTATTATTTTTATTTTTAAATGACCAATTAAAGAAATTATCAAATTTAAATTTTATAATAAATTAATTTTTTAACATGTAACAGCGCATTTCGATTCCCTCCGCAAAAATCACTTTCCTGGCTGTCCTTGTCAAACATAGCAATCTTCGCAGCAAACATTCCAATTTATGCAAATTAATTTTTTTTTAAATTTGCGAACGGCAAAAATGAAATATTTAGTGAAAAAATTATTTTGAACTTTATTTCAAGTTTGAACTGATAAACAAAAAGAAATTAAATAACCTAGCGCAAAACAATTGGTAGGTTAATGATAGCTTTAAAAGATTTCCAATCTAATTTAATGGTTTCCAAATTTGAACAACTGTTCATAATTCTAATAAAAACTAAGATTTTCAATTCTTTTAAACAAGAACGGCAAGGGAATAGAAACATCTTGAAGAAGCCAAATAAATGATCATCATATGAGATTTGTATAGATGCAGGATTGTTAGAAATCACCCAAAAATTCGGCCTAACACCAGAACAATTTGGAGAAAACATCAAGGACAATTACATTCGGCATGAAATATCACAGGATTACACCGATCTTAATCAACTGGCTCAGCAATTTATTAAAGAGCAGTTTCCGTCAATTGATCAAGTTTTAGCGGGTGATTTTTATGCAAAAGCTGAGTTCTTTTAATAAATATACTGCTCACAAATGGGTGATGGTCTCTCCGGCCTTACCCCAAGATCCGCCATATTATGTATTATACATATACATTCAGTGGCGGATCTTGTACATTTAGTACTGTATTTTAATAGCGCTCTGAAAATTCCCCTGATTGTTATCAGATTTGAGATCTAATGCACCGTCATCCCGGTGTCCACGCAAAGCAAAATTATGTCTTCCACAAACTTTAATAGTTTCAATAATAGTGTTAAGCAGCAATTTTCAGTTTTGCTCTATTTTTGTGGAAAGAGCGGAGTTTGATAACTCTAAAGCATTAGTTTTATTTTTAATCAAACTCAGAAACATTTCTGATTTTTCTGTAGCCTCTCTATGAAAAAATGTCGCTTGATGACATCGACATTGATCTAAAGCTGATTTATAACGATTTAAAGGTGATATAACAAATACTCCGACTGAGCCACATGATGGATGTCGATTAGCATAAAGTACACAAAACTTACAGAATGCTCCTTTTTTCAAATCAGAATAAGACGGCCGGAAATTTCTTGAAACCAATGGAATTTAAAAAACCGTTTTCTTTTACCTTCCAACACAAATGAAAATTTATAATTCTCGTCAGGTTTCCATGGATTTTTCAAAAGATCATATCTTAAAATATTCGAAATGCTTGGGAATTCTGCAGTTGCATATTGTCCAATATCTAAAGGTATTGTTTTCTTTGAAAAACTCTTACATGAATTACCAGTTTTGTCTGAAACATCAGTCATATCATCGTTTAAATTTAATAAAAGGCATCAAACATCAGATTCTATAATGGAAAAAAAACGTTGAGATTAAATTTTTTAATTTTCCTACCAGACTTGAATACTTAAATACTACAAACTTAATTCAAGTCTAGTCGGATAATAACCGGTACGCATTAACCCTTACCCAAAAAATGTTTTTATATTATTCAGCTTATTGCTAATTTTTTTTAGTTGAAAATACAAAATTATTTCATATGCAATTATTGAAATATCTAGGTATTACCATTAACGGCCTCAACTGTATTGAGATCATCGCACTGCTTCTGTTTTTTGCCGGAGTCGGTTGAAAAAAGTTTAAAATACTACTTTTTTTAAAACATTTTTTCAATTTTAAAACGAATTCAAATACAAACAGATTTTATGAAACACAAAAAAATAATATAAGACGCGCCAAATCGTAAATGGAATAAAATGTGAACTGCGAACAAAACATAAAATTATGAAAAGTCTAAAGTAAAGACTATAATATTTTTTGATTTATTATTTGTTGATATTAGTTTTCAATAAAAAAATATACTAAGAAAACATGAATTATTTTTATTTTATGCCGCAAAACACTATTTAAGTTTAAAATATGAATTATATTCTGAAATAAACTTGTATCAAATTTATATAATAAATCAGCGTTATTTTTTAATGTTAAAAAGTGTCGATTTAAAAAAATTTTTTTTTATTATTTAACGCTGTCTTGAATTGAACTGATGATAATGGATTGATGTCAGACCAACCACAAATGAAATTTCTGAAATAGATGAGAACCATCCTTGTTACATTTTCAAATATCTCAAAGGCAAACCAGTGAGACATTTGGTCGAAGATGAATACCTGAAAATCAATCAAGCGGAAGAAGACGGCTTGGTGAAGGTTCACTTTTATATGGATCACGACTCCTACATGCAAAAAGTAAAAGCCTTCTTCACGAAGGATGAATACAGCTCTACAGTGCAAAAGTAGAATAAATTTCGTATCTCAGCAGTTGAGAAGGCGTTAAAAGACATTTTCTATACCCTGCTCATCAAGCAAATAAGAACGAAACTATTAGAGGAAGACAAGGACCACGTGATGAAATCATGCTGCCAAAGCTTACATTCTCTTCTGCGGGTGGCACCTCATCAAGTTGATCAAATACTACAAAAGGAAAAAGATTACAGGGTTGACAAGGGTTTGCGAATTCTTGGAGTTGCAACAAGTAGTGACAAAGATGAAGCATCGTATTGTGCAATAATTGATGGTAGCGAAGAAATTACAGACTATCAAAAAATGACTAGTCTTGCAGCACGCGGATATCTATGGAGCAAAAAAGAAAAAGAAGCCAAGGACCAAGATTGCAACAATGATGCAGACGTATACTTTCTAGATGGATCCAGAATTCACCCCGAAGTTTATCCATGGGCTCGCAAAATGGCACAAGATGCGCTCGATTACAATGAAGACGCCGTGAAAGACATCTTGGAAACTCCAGAAAAATTAGAAAATTTAGATCTTGATGCATTTTTCGAGGAACTAAAAAAGCAGGATTATGGAGATAAAGGTACCAAATTGTACGACATAAAAGCTGAGTTACGTGACAGATACAAAGATCAGATAACACCCTTTAAAAGCGCAACAGCACAAGAAAAATTTAACATGTTGACGAAAGAAACGCCACAAACGTTTTATATCAGTAAAATAGTATGCTGCAGAGTTGTCGGTATCGAGGTGAGGAATTAAACGCTGCCAAACTGGTCGTTAACAGGCAAAATAGTTTATGGCAGTGCCCCTTTTGTAAGAAAAGAAAGTTTTCTTCATCACACGAGGTCTGAAATCATTTTGGACACGGTTGTCCAGGCAAAGCAGTTGGTGTAAAAACCAAATTTGATAATGGTGTCAGCGGTTTCATACCAATCAGATCGATTAGTGATCAATACATTTCAGACCCTAGCGATCGAGTTAAAGTGATAAATTGTAAAATTTCAAAAATCACTGTGGAAAGATTTCAGGTAGAACTTACCAGCAGATCGTCTAATATAACAGACCTGGCTCACAAATGGAGACTACCTTACGATTTGTTTTACGACCAAGAAGCAGAAAAGGAATGGCCAGGACAAGGAAACTTTTTTACAGACCTACAAAACCATTAGTCGTTTAACAATCGAGTATGCCTGTCCTGCCTGGGCATCATTGACATCAGACTTAAGTTTCTCACGTCTTTAACGCTCCCAGAATGCCGCCCTACGTCTAGGTTGCCATGCGATTGCTTCAGAACGGCACCTTCATTCAGAATGTAAGATGTTAACGGTAAGGCAGCATTCGGAGCTAATAGCATCACAATTCCTACTCCTATGCCATAAACCTAGCCACCCGTGCCATCATATCATCACGCGACAACACCCTTATCGCAGCATAAAGACCACCCTCTTCTCCAAATGGGCTTCAACAACTCATGCGGTTCTACCAACAACCATAAATAGCGATTCTCTGAAGTCCGCCCTAAGAACACTACACAATAACACCATCAAAGCCGCCACAAGATGTATCAGTCGCCGTTGTTGTTGCTTGACGGATGGCCTCCACCTACACCAAAAATAGATCTTACAGAAGAATCACTTCCCAGGGCAATCAGACGGACCCTAGCCCAACTTCGTTCTGGCCATAGTATTCTTCTAAACAGCTACAAAAACAAAATCGATAGTAGGCACCTCAACACCTGTCCTTTCTGCAACAATCATACAGATGATGTACCGCATCTGTTTAGCTGTTCACAAAATACCACAAAACTACAACCAATAGATCTCTGGAGAAAACCAATTGCAGTGGCGGTTTGGCTCCGGCCTCGATTGGAGCCCTAGTGGTCCCCAAGAATGGGGCAACAACAACAACAACCAAAAAGAAATAAAAAAAAAGAAAAAACGTGATTAAAGCCAAAACTACTTTCGTTAACAGAATTATTTCTCACCCCTCCTATCGCAACGTTGATTACCATAATTGCGAAAGACTAATGGAAAACTTTGAACAAGGAGATGTTATAATCGGGCCAAGCAGCAAAGGCAACAATCACCTAACATTTACTTGGAAGGTCTCAAATAAAGTTTTCCAGCACATTGATGTAAAAGAGGAAGATAAAGCCAATGCGGTAAGTCCCGGAAAACGACTTTGGATCGAATCGGAATGTTTTGGTGACCTCGACGGGATTATCGCCAGACACGAGACCCCAATGGCAGGCTTCGTACGAGAAGTAATGAGATTCAAATATTTCAAAAAACTCGCCGTAAAATTGTTAGACAATAAAATTATTGAGAAAGATCTTATGGAGGAACGAAAACGCAACTCCTCAAGATTTCTATATTATTTTACATTTTTCAAACAATATACAGAAAAATTTATGTTTTCTTTTTTTCCAAATATAAGCGTCAAGCGTATGTGACAGTTACTTGCGACGGAATGAGATACAGAGGACAAAAATTTAGCAACATCAACAATTTGGTTAATTGGTCCAAATTACATTTCAATGACGCTGTAACTGCAAACCAGCAGATGAATCCAGTGACTTCCCAAGACCAATCAATCGGATCTACTAGATATAATGCCCATCTTTTAGGATGTACCGGATATAATGCACCCTCCACACGTTCTATATTGTGATTTCAAGTTCATTCATTTATTTGGCGATCCATGCATGTACATTTAAATAAATTTATAAACTTAAAAATACATTCATAGAATGTTGCGTGATGTCATTAGTTATAACAAACCAAATACATATAACATAAACATTTTTATGAGTTAAGTTAACAAAATGTTAATCAAAACAAAACAACGACTCTTTCTTCATTCAAATTTGACGCAAAAAAAATAATATTTTACAAAATTAAAAGTACATATAGGAAGATTTTTATCTAAAATCGTGTAGAAGAGCATTTGTTCGTTTAAATATTCACACACATGCACACACAAAAGACACAGGCACAAACATACATACTCGTGTACACAATCACGCACATGGTTAATAAAAATCAAACTCAAATTTTATTCCTTTATTATTCATTCTTTTATTATTCCGAATTATCATTTATTTTATCACTAATTCCTTATGTCATTTACCCATCTATCATGATATCTATCCACATATCCAAATAATTAAATTATCAAAGAAACAGAATAAACTCTATAAAAAACAATTTCAACACCTACTACAGAGAATATTAACAAATATAAGCGATTCAGAAATTATTTTACACCATTTAAACGAAAGGAAGAAAAAAATTATACTCTTGATTTTGGATAAGCAAATCCATGATCGGAATTTTAGACTAGCCCAAACTGAAGTAATCTTTGTGCCTCTTTAACTCTGGCATTGGCACAGCTTCGCATCTGATGTTGCTTGTGATGTTGGCCACCACTACTATTCCTTGATGGATCTGATCTTTCTGAGTCCTGTCTGACTCTGGTCATATAATTCATTGGGGGCCAGTTCGAGTAAAAATGAGGTTGCATTTGACTGTTGAGATGGAAGCTTGGCCCCGAACCGAGAAGAGGCTCAACTTTGAAATCCTCCAGTCTCTGATACTTGCTGAGCTATCCCCTCAACCTGCCATCGACCAGCATCTGTTTCCTTGAATATTTGAGGAAAGCCCAGAACTTTTCCAGGCCATATAACTGGCCATTTTGATAATCTTTGATGGTCTCCTCTTGGAAGTGCTCAAGCAAGTCAGGTCGATATCTTTTCTCCAAACCATAACTATAGAACCGAAACAGACATTCCAAGCCATACCTGAACCCTTTATTGGCATCTTCAATGGCAAGTTGCCTGAACTCTTCGTACATTTTTTGGTGAAAGTGGTGACGAAGAAAAAATGACCAAAACCTGAAAAGAGTGTTCATTTCTGTAGACTGCCCGATCCCAACCTTCCGACGATCCTTGAGGCACTTGGCTCGGTAAGAATTGTACTTGTGCCAGATGAAGTTGTTGTCCTTCAGTAGCTCATGGGATGGGTGTTCCAACGTTACACACGCCACTGACAAGCTTTCTGAAACTGTGTGACTTCTTTCTTTGGTTGTCGACGATGCTAAGGTCGCGTATGTTGACGGAAATTCTACTGGAACTTGTCTTGATGTCGACGGCTTCGCAGAAGTTTTAAGGATCTCCGAAAAATTCTCGGTATTGGACGATCTGGGTTGTAGAGTCTCACCCGAAGATTTATGATCATATTTTGAGGAGCTGATGTTGTCAATACTTTTATAATTTGTTATTTCATCATTAGTCTGTTCCTAATGTTGTTGCGGTTGCTTTTTTGACTGCCTCTGCTGTTGACGTTTTTGTTGTGGTCTTTGTGTTTCTTTGTTGGTTCTTTTCCATGTACAGCGCTTCGCAATATGACCGATCTTCCCGCAAGAGAAACAGGTTTGTTTGGGTGAAGCTGATTTGTTGTTACTATTTCTATACATCTGGTGCTCATTTTCTCGAGACGATTGTATCTGATTGATACTCTCCGGCATATATGTATTGTCGCTCGAAACTTTCATGTTCATAGCAGCTTCATATTTGTCGATCGTTTGTGCCAACACGTCATGACTCATCCAGGAAGCTGCTTGTTCTTGTGACAAAATAAATTCCAGAGTATGCCTTGATAGCAACTCTTTCATTCTATCTTCACATATCAATTTCATTGCATCTTCTAATCCCGTAATGTTACGGCTTTGAAAATAGTGGTTCAGCGTGCCGTATAATTTCGCCCCGAAACTTGTGTACGATTCGCTTTTCTGTCTTCTCAGGGCGAAGAATTCATTACTCAATTTTGGCGGGTTTAACCTGAACTCCTGCAGAATGAGTCTTTTAATTTCGCTATAATCCTTCAGACCGTCGGCGGAAATAGTATGCAACCATGTTTTGGCCTTTTCGTTCAAACTCATTATCAACAAATTGGCTTGAATTTCTCCGTCTACGTGATAGTTTCGAAAAAATTTTTCTACGTGTTCAAAGAATGCAGGAATATCTCTTGGCTCTAACGGACAAGTTCCTATCAGATGTTTTAACGACTCCGCGAAAAATCGAGTCTGTTGCATTAGTTTTATCGTGTTATTATCCTCACTAGCATCATTGGCCACTCTTCGATTATTCATACCTTCTACCTCTAGTCGTCAAATTTCTAATTCTTGACTCTTAAGCCTGAATTCGGCTTCATCTTTTTCACGCTGTCTGGCCATCTCTGCTTCATCTCTTTCACGCTGTCTGGCCATCTCTGCTTCTTTAAGCTTATATTCCCTCTCATCTTTTTCTCGTTGTCTAACAATCTCCTCTTCTCGAAGCTTATATTCCATTTTTAACTGTTTCTTTTCGTATAAGGTCAATCCACCTTCAGTATCTTTCGACACAGCACCCTCCGTCGCAATACTGCATGGAGAATCAATGCTGTCCGCCAAAATTGTTGCCCACGTTTCTAACAGCTGTGATCTGCTTATCAATCGCACACTGGCTTCGTCGATTGATCTCTTCAGTAGTTTCTTTGTTATCTGTTCGTTCGACAGACGTTGTAATTTTTGTTGTTTCGTCTTCGTCAATCGATCCATTGTAATTTTGAATTCTCAACTTACAACAAACGTACAGCGAATGCAATAACTTATAACTAAGTATTTAATTAATTTTTCATATAAATGTCAAAACGTCCTATTAGTTATTTAATTATTCAATTATTGTCGTACACCAATTAAATAACTACCCCACTTCTGGTACCAATGTAACGGGTTCGATATTAACTAAACGCAATGACAGATATACTATTAATCTTCCTTTATTAAAACCTAACTAAATAATTAATCGAATAAACCAAATTAACGAAAATGCAACGATACAATAACCAACTTTACTAATGTCGACTCCGGCACAAGAGCCGCAGAAAAGAAAGAGGCTTAACTTATTTGCGCAGGCTATTTATAGACTTGCACGGTGCTCTCTCCTAGGTAAGCGCTTGTACTTTGGTCTAGTAGCCAACCCACGTGACCATACGGCGCTCCCCCTAGGTAAGCACACGTGCTTTGTGCTAGTAACTAGCCCACGTGACCATGTAATGGAACAATTTCCATTACATTCTCCTCTGCACTATACACCACCTGCAGGAATAACATATGTGTATGTGTGTTTATGCATGTGTATTTTTTCAGGCAATTTAAAAGGGTTGTATTCACATTCAGCAATAAAAAATTGAAAATAGAAAAAAAATGAAAGAAGAAATATCACATTTTTGACCCGCGAATTTACAAATACTACAACTACTGCTACTACTAATACTAATAACACGTACACACACATTTAAATAACACTCCCTCAGTTGCATATATAACACACAATATATAACACTATGTTAGGTTATATAACAGATTTCAATAAACAGCTTATTGAGTTTACACACACAACACACACATTTACACATACAAAAACATAAAAAGACACACATATATAGAGAGAACATACACATACAAACATACATCCAGAATTACCTATCTATCGATATGACAAGCTTTTACAATGTTCAAATAATAAAATACAATTAAATAGTTAATACACATGCTCACGCATGTTCACGCACACACATGTTTTTTCATCATTTTTTTGTAATAATAAAAAAACATTATTGATTTTTTTCGAAATGTGATCATCAGCAGCAAGTTGGAACTTAAACGCCTAGAAAAATATATTGTAAAATTGTGACGATTGCGATGATAATGATTGGGTCTTTGAGGCGTGTCGCCTGTATATATCTATATATTTTAATAAACATTCATATTTGCTATGCTATATATGCAATATATGCGACGCGTGCTACGTGAGGTTCTGTTTATAGGGGGGGAGTATAGAAAAGAGTATAGAAGGGAGTATAGAATTTTCTATGATATAGAAAGCGTTATGTAGATAGGGTGGTAAAAACATATATAAGGCAGCGAGTTGAGATATTGTGGGATTGTTGTTTTTTTTAGGTTTTTTTATGTTACTTATGGGCGTGTTTGAGTGTGGGCGTTTGTATTATATGTTTGTTTATGAAATGTGCATGCCTGTGTGTGTGTGTGCCTATTTGTGTGTATGTGTGTGTATGTACCTATTTGTGTGTGTGTTTGATTTTATGAGTGAGAGCCAAAAATAAAGTATTTTAGTTTAATAACATTTATATATAATTAATTTTTTCCACTTTCATGCGGCTATTAGAATAATAAGGTGTGAGTGTGTGATAAATAGTATTATTGAAAATAAAATATTTTTTCCTTATTTTTATTGTTGATAAAATGATAATAATAATAACAACAATAATAATAATAACGCTTATAATTATTGATATTATTAACTTTATTTCTAACTTTAAAGTTTCTTGTTGACGCCATTGTCATCGCCATTACTTCAAACATCATACGATTTGTTTAAATAAATAAACGAGCGAACGAATGATCGAGAAAAAGAAACAATTAAAAATGAATAAACTAACAAATTAATGAATGGATAAATGATGGTTAAATGGATAGATAATAATTGGATATATGGATAATTGGATAGATGATTTTAAATGGATAGATAATAATTGGATATCAAATCAAATCAAATTTTATTCAATCAATCCAAATTAATAATAATTAGGTAATGATTAGGAGACCAAAGCTAAAAGAAAACAAAATTCTTTTGTCGCAGGCCACCGTTCACAAATTGTTCATTCTAACACGATTTTTAAGTAAATTTATAATTCATGACAAAATTAACATAATGCACAATTTACACGATTCTAATTAAATAAAACTTGTACTTTTTTTTAATAAAGATTTCTTTATTTTGTTTTTAAACAAATGCAAGGAATTTTTAGTCTTTATATCAACAGGAAGTTTCTCCCAGATTCCGGGACCGGTATGTTTTATAGCTACTAAAATAAAATAGTAACGACAAAATCGAAGAGTTAATGAAGGGGCGTAGCACGTATTTTTTGAATGTCTCCGTTTCTAAACTTTTGAGCACACTTGGAAACTGTTCTCCAACAGAAAATTCAGCCAGAGAACATAGTGAGAGCCATGCTTTCATCAAAAATTGCTTGGGATGCAGATCAGCGAGGGAAACATGGGGCCTGCCAGATGTCGAGGAGGTTTTTAGTCGGTATGAGGTCTACTCGAGTCCACATAAAATATTTTCCTACTTCAAAAAAATAAACATACATACACACTTTATTTTATACATACATACAAACGTACGTAGTACGTACGTACAAGGCCGTAGCTAAGGGGTGGGGGCTGAGCCCCCACGAAATAATTTACATTGATAATTTTTTGTAACAATCATTAATTATGTGTTTATTTTAATGCCTATCCGTTAAATTGCATGGTAAAATACTTGCAAAAAGGGCATGAACGTTTGATTTAATGCTTACTTTTTAAAATATTTTACAGTATTTTACGTTAAAATCATAATATCAACATTCTAATAAATAACAGTCTTAATAGCAATTCACTTTTAAACATATTTATGCATTAATCGTCCTCTCGTTTTCGCTTTTAAGTTTCGATTGCCTTGAGGTTTCTGAAGTAAAGTTTTGCCATGAAAAGAACAAATAACCAAGAAAACAATTTATTGATTTATTTAACAAAAATACCAAATTGTTGTGATGAATCGAAAACTTTGTTGACACAAGAGTTGGAAGTTGGTACATCTGAGTCTGAGAGTCTTGTGAACATTAACAATGAATTGAAGCTGAAGGGCAATGAGAAAAATGTTTCGTCCTTAGCTATCCCAAAAGATAATTTTGATGCAACATGTTCAAAAACAAAAAAAGACATAGCTAATTACGTCGACGTAAAATTAAACAACCATGAAAAAATTGAGGCAAGAGACTTGCTTTGAAAACCAACAAATAATTACAAAAAATTTATTAACGATGATACAGGAAAATTTACAAGACGCTTTCAGTATGATTGGTTACAAAAGTTTAAATGGCTTGCTTATTCAAAAAAAAGTACAGGCGTTCATTGTTCAACGTGTGTAATATTTTTTACAGACAAAATGGTTAAAAGCTGATTTGAATGGATTTGTTATTTTTAACTTGATTTTAATTAATTATTTAAAATAAGTATTCCGACAGCCCCCCCCCCAAGAAAAATAATCCTGGCTACAGACTTGCACACCTTTATGCTGTTTTTATTTTTATTTACGTTTTAATTATATAATTGAGTTGTCGAGTATGTAATGTATGTGGGTGTTTTATGATGGGATGTGCTTACGTTGAATGTGTTTTGGATGTGAGGAGATGTGTGTGTTTCTAATAATTTGAATTGATTTATTAATATTGTGCTGATGGTTAGGTATTTATCTGTTGGTTGTTCTGAATTATATGTTATCGTGCATCTTCTGTGCGTAATTGTGTGTGATCGGTGTGGATAAAGTGTTTTGGTTTAAAATGGTTGATTCGGGCTACATGATTGCTGTTTGGTTCATACATGACTTTGAGTGATTGGTTATGGTCGAGAGTATATGTGTGCATCTATATATGAATTTAAAGGATTTATCTGTTTTGTTTTAGTTCTTTTTACAATGTATACTTATGTTTATTTTCGAAATATATATGTTTTTGTTTGATCACTTAAATGGACAAAAATTTTTCTTTTGGTTATGTTGGATAGCGAATTTGGGTAGTTCTATAAAAGTCGCTAAACAAGTTTTCTTATAATAACAATAATAATACTTTATTCTATACACACATACATGTGTACACATTTTTGTACACACATGTTTATATGTATGTATGTATGTACAGTAGCTCTGCTTTTACAAGCTGCTGGCTGGCTATCTTAAATGCTTGTCCACTGCTTTTGTGTAAAATGCTGATGACGAAAATGAAGACAATGTCGTTGATGAAGATAATGACGATGATGATGGTGTCGTTGACCATGATGATGATGATGATGATGATGATGATGAAAATAATTACAATAACGATAATAAATTATGTGCATTGGATTGTATTACAAGAATGTTGAAAATATTATCATCATCATCAATAATAATAATAATTATTATGTGAACGATCTTTTATTCAGCAATAAAAAAAAATGAAAATTACAGTACAAGTAAAATAAAATAATGAAATAAAATAAAGTGACAAATGCAATAAATAGAGTATAAATCTGAAAAGCTCATCATTCGAATTAAGAGAGTACGACCAGAGTTAATTAGTTTTAAAATTGATTCATTTTACATTTCTGTCGCAATAGATAGCGTATGACGATGATATGGCAGAGTTTATAAGGTAATAACAAAAATAATCAGTCCAAATAATATTTATTAGTGAAAGATTGAATGATTTAAAGAGGACTAAAGTAGATATTTCAAATGTATTTATTTTAATTTTTAAATGTTTTAAGTCGTCGTTTAAGTTATTTTTCAAGTTATTAGAGTATTTTGATTGTTTGTAGTTTTTAGAGTTGGAGAAGTTAGTTTCAAGGCAAATTGTCAACTCCAGGATTTCCAATATTTCACCGCGTAGCAATGCGATATCTGGTTGCAATGTCTTGAATAAGCGTGATGGTGGTTGAAAATCGTTTTGCGTCCCGGTTCCCCGAAGTAGGACGTTTTCTTTTTTTTTCTTTCTTTTTTCTTTTTTTAATTATGAAGTGTTATTTAATTTTTATCTTTTTTACTCTCTCTCTCTCCTCTCTCTCTTTTTTTATATATCCAAAATACATGTATTCACAAATACACGTACATATTTACATCCGCATATATACAGACACCCGCATGCTCGCTCATACATACAGACAAACACACAAATACAGACACACATATGTACAGACACACACTCACACACACATATACAGACACTCATACAGACACACACACAAATACATACACACACACATACAAAGACAGACACGCATACAGACAAACACAAACAAATACAGACACACAATTACAGACACACTCACAAATACAGACAAACACATACAGACCCACATACATACATTTTCATATAAATCCTTTGTTGTGCCAAGACTTCTTAGTGATGTCATTCTTTTATTTTTGTCCGCTGAATGTTGGTCTAAATCTTTTTCATGGCAAAAAAGAATTCTTTGTCTCCCTCATTTTAAATTAAGCGGATTTCTCCCTGTGCGTGTACGCGTCTGTCTATGAGTTAATGCATATGTATGTGCGTGCCTGTGTGTATGTGAATATATATTTTGAGATTTCATTGCGAGAAAAATCATTCAATAAAGCTTGATTTTGCAAGGTGAAAAATGCTTCTTTAACATCAACATTTTTTGTCCAAAATAAATAACTAGAAACAACGACACAATCACACAGATGGACAGACAAACACACACACACACTCATATACTAACACGTTTAGACTCGGGCAGTACACGTGTACTACATGTAAGTGTTTCACGCTGTACTATGTAGGTCAGCAAGTAGGTCAGCTACTCCAGGCATGAGCTAGATTAAAGAAACCTACAAAGCAGTATCTGTCGGTGGTGATAATGATAGTACGAGTTTTGATACTACCATTTATGATACAAATACTATCAGTTATGATAATACAAATGCTATCAGTTATAACAATGATAGTTTTAATGGTGATATAGGTGATGTGAGAGAGAAGAATGATGATGACGGTGAGTGTTTTTAATGGTTACTAGACAAAAAAAACGTGGAAACAAAGAAGTATCTGCGAATGAATATTCACGAGGTTAAACGACAGAGTTAGCTGGTTACAAGGATATATATATATATATATATATATATATATATATATATATATATATATATATATATATATATATATATATGTTGGTAATAGGTTGGTAATATATATATATATATATATATATATATATATATATGTGCGTGTGTGTGCGTGCATGCGTGTGTGTGTGTGTGTACGTGTATAAAAGAAGATACAAAGATCTTTTGAAGATTCATTTTATTGAAGTTTCGTTGTATAGATTTGCCGACGAAGGTAGTTTTACTTTTTCACTTTTAATGATTTGTAACAATACATTCATTATTAAAAATTAAAATTTTATTTTAATAGAATTACATTGGGGTTAATTAGAATTAATTACAATAGAAAAAAATTAGTTAACGTTTTATATTATAGGTATTGTAGAATATTAAGTAAAAATAAGTAACTCTTTAGTCTTTCTTTACTCGCCGCCATTCGTTATAATATTATTGAATTAAATAATAACAATAATTTTACTACTAATAATAGTAATTAAGACATAATTAGTTATTTTTAACAGATTATTATTAATTAATTAATTATAATAAATTTGAAGTGGGATAATTATGAGATCAAGAAACTGCAAAGAACACGTAGCCGAAATCGATGATAAAAATACCGGTAATTTTTATTATTGACGATGATAGTATTAATTTACGATAACATTAACATAATTTATGATGACATTAGCATTATTTATGATGACATTAAAATAAATTATTTTTATGATGGCATTAAAAGAATTTATGATATAAAATAATTCATGATGACATTAAAATAAATCATGACGACATTAAAATAACTTATGATAACATTTGTATCATTAATAATATAATTTATGATTACATTAGCATATTTTATGATGACATTAAAACAATTTATTTTATCATAGCATTAAAATAATTTATGATATAAAATAATTTATGATGACATTAAAATAACTCATGATAACATTAGTATCATTTATTATAACATTAATACCATTTATAATATAATTTATGGTGACAGCATAATTTATGATAATGTTACCGATATTTGATAACGTATTTTATGATACTAGCTACGATACAGATAACCTAATTTATGATAATCGTAGGTGATGATTGTGATGAAGAAGAAATCTATGACGATGCTGATGATGATGGTGCTGATGATGATGCAAGCAGCATCGATAGCGACGGCTTCGTAGTTATAAATGATTATGACGTCTATAACAACAATAATATTAAAAATAGCAACAATAACGTTAAAAATAATAATGTTAATAATGAAAAGAATAAAGTCGACAACAATGATGAGTTAAATTTCAGTTACGATCATTATGGTAATGATAGTCATACTACTACTACTGCTGCTGCTGCTGCTACTACTAATAATAATGATAATAATAATGATGATGATGATGATAATAATGATAATGAGGATGGCAATCTGATTAGTCATACTTGTTTTGAGCTGATTGAAGTAAGCGATTGTATGGAACCTAGCAAAGACAGCAGTACAGATTTCATCATCATAAACAGTATTGATGGTGATAATGATAATGATGACGCCGATGGTGATGATGACGAAACAGATGACAGCAATGCAAAAATTGTTAACGATATGATTAATAATAATAACAACAATAATAATATTAATAATAATGTCACAACTGATGATGGTAATATAAAACGCGATAATAATATCAATCACAATAATAATAATTGTAGTTGTAATAATAATATTAGCAATGATGGTAAAAATTACAATGGTGATGATGTTAGCAATGATGAGGACGAGGACCGAGACAACAATGACGCTAATGACAACAACAACAACAATAATACTAACAACAATAAAAATGGTCGTGATGACGATGTTAATAGAAATCAAATTAGCTACATTAACTACATTCAACTTGATGATGATGTTAGCAATGGTGATGATGTTGACGACGATAATATCAACAAAAACAATAATAAGACTAAGAACAGCAACAACAATAATATAGTCATCACCGAGGTTAACTATGATAGTGTTGAAGATAGTATTATTGGCAGAAATGATGATGATGATGGGGTTTTCGCGGTCATTAATATTAATTACAAAGATGGACGCTATTACGATGATAATGATTGCAGCC